CTCGTTCTGGCTCACGTACAAAAGCATCTTGCAGAGCAGAGGGTAAGTGAGTCGAAGTGTGAACATTACCCACCAATACCTTCAATTGTGAAACATGAAAGACCGGATGGATCTGTGAAGATTTAGGCAGATCCAACTGATAAGCAACCGCTCCACATTTGTCAACAATCTTGTAAGGACCAAAATATTTGGGTGCCAGCTTCTGGTTTGATCGAAGCACCACTGAATTCTGCCTGTAAGGTTGTAACTTGACATATACATAATCTCCAATAGCAAGTTCTTTCTCAGTCCGGTGTTGGTCTGCAAACAACTTCATCCTATGCTGAGCTCGCATCAAATGAAACTTAAGTAGCAGGATCATATTCTCTCTCTCCTGTAATGATCGTGCCACAACTGCAACCTTAGATTCTCCTGGAAGATATGGTAAATGAATCGGAGGAGCTTGCCCATACATTGCTTCATAAGGAGTGAGCTGAGTAGCAGAGTGAAAGTTGGTGTTATACCAATACTCAGCAAGCGGTAACCACTTACTCCAGAGATGAGGTTGGTCACTAGTCATACATCTCAAGTAGGTTTCAAGGCACCTATTAACCACCTCTGTCTGACCATCACTTTGAGGGTGGTAAGCACTCGACATTCTTAAAGAAACACCCTGCAAAGCAAAGAATTCTCTCCAAAATTCACTTGTAAAAATCTTGTCTCTATCACTGACGATGGAATTAGGACACCCATGTAGCTTAAAGATGTTGTCCAAATAAGCTTGAGCAACTGACAAAGCACTGTAAGGATGAGCCAAGGCGATGAAATGTGCCGCTTTACTCAATCTATCAACTACCACCATTATCACAGACTTGCCAGAAGACACAGGTAATCCATCAATAAAGTCCATCGAAACATCACTCCAAAGACAATCAGGGATAGGAAGTGGCTGTAATAGTCCTGGTGAAGCTGCATTGTCACTTTTACACTGCTGACAAACGGCGCACCTCCTAATATATGCTTGAATGTCTTTGACCATCCCTCGCCAATAAAAAATGCCTTTTACACGTTGATGAGTAACCTCACGGCCAGAATGTCCCCCTACTCCTGAACAATGTAACCACTGAAGTATATCATCTCTTAGTTTGACATCATTTGGCACAACAATCTTGGTTTTCCTTCTGAGAACATTTTGAACCCAGGAATAATGCTTCTTAGCATCCTTCTTCTGTTTAATAGCTGCAATTATAGCCTGTAAGTCCATATCCTTCTCATAACCTTCTTGAATGTTTTTTAACAAGTCACATTCAATCACTGACATTGCCATGTGAAGCACTTCAGCACCATCCACACGTGACAATGCATCAGCGACCAAATTTTCTTTTCCTTGTCTATATTGAATTTCATAATCAAACTCCAAGAGTTTTGGCAACCATTGTTGTTGAATAGGCGTATTGAGACGCTGTTCCAACAAGTATTTAAGGCTGCGCTGATCAGTCTTAATCACAAAATGACTAGGCAATAAGTAATGCCTTCATTTATTCACCGCAAAAATGACTGCAAGTAACTCCTTTTCATAGATGGAGAGCAACAATTGTTTTCCTTTCAATTGACGGCTTATATAGGCAACTGGATGACCTGCCTGCATTAGAACTGCACCGATACCATTTCCACAAGCATCAGTCTCCACAACAAAAGGAATATCAAATAAGGGCAGAGCTAATACAGGAGTCTGACACAATGCTTCTTTCAAATTATCAAAGGCTGCTTGAGCTTCTTGTGACCATAAAAACGCTTCCCTCCTTGTTAGAGCATGAAGAGGACTCGCTATGGCACCAAAATTCTGAACAAATCGCCTATAATAACCCGCTAAACCAAGAAATCCCCTGAGTTGCTTCAGATTAGTCGGAACAGGCCACTCCTTCACAGCCTGAATCTTAGCTGGATCAGTAGATATTCCTGCACCACTGATAAAATGACCAAGATACTCCACTTTATCCACAGCAAATGCACACTTACTTCCTTTTGCAAACAACTTGTTCTGCCTCATCAATTGAAAAACATGTTCCAAGTGTATAATATGCTCCTTCATAGTCTTACTATACACAAGGATATCATCAAAGAATATCAACACAAATTTCCGCAAGAAACTCTTGAACACCGCATTCATTAATCCTTGAAAAGTTGCTGGAGCATTTGTAAGCCCAAAAGGCATTACTAAGTACTCATAGTGACCACTGTGAGTCTTAAAAGCAGTTTTAGGAATGTCTTCAATACTCATTCTTACTTGGTGATAACCTGCTCTCAAGTCAATCTTTGAATATACCTTTGAGCCACCCAGTTCATCCAACAAGTCTTCGATTAGAGGGATTGGAAACCTATCCTTGACAGTCATTCCATTAAGCTCCCTATAATCCACACACAATCGCCAAGTACCATCCTTTTTTTTTACTAGAACCACTGGTGAAGCATAAGGGCTTGAACTCATTTGTATCGTACCACTTTGTAACATTTCCTCAACAATCTTATCAATCTCATTCTTTTGATGGATAGCGTAACGATAAGGTCGCTGGTTAACTGGATTAGAACCCTCCATAAGTTGAATTTTATGATCATGATGCTTCCGAAAAGGTGGTAAGTCCACTGGTTCTGCAAATACATCTGGAAAGGACTGCAACACCTGACCGACACCAATATTTTCATCTTGTGCAACCTCCACCATGTGTAAAGATCCCATTTCACCCTCAAACACTTCATCCTCTGTCACCTCCTGAACACAAATCATAGCAAATTGAGCCTCATTGTCCCGCAGCTTGTTAAGTTTTTGAGCTTTAACATCTCTGACAGACCCATTTTTAATACCATGAAGTAACACTTTTTGGTTATTCCACACAAACCCCATTTCCAGCTTCTTGAACTCCCAAGATATTTTTCCCAATGTCTGTAACCACTGAACTCCCAACACCATGTCACAGCCTTGTAATGGAATTAACATCACACTTGTTTGAAACTGAGTAGTCTGAAACCTCCAATTAAACTCTTCAATTTTACCTTGAATTCCCAATTTTCTTCCATCCGCCACAGTGACCTTAGTCATACCAGATTTTGTGACAGTACACCCCAACTTCTCTTCTACCTTAGGATCAAGAAAATTGTGTGTAGAACCTGAGTCTAGCAAGACGAAGATGGTCCTCTTCCCAAACATTCCCCTGACCCGCATAGTGCTATAATCAGAGATTCCTGACACTGCATTAAGAGAAACTTTAGGAGTGACTTCTTCTATCTCTTCAGACTGATCAATTGCATCCTCAAAAATCTCTTCCTCATCCCCATCCAAGCAATACAATTGTGGAATCTTATGCTGTTTATAATGTTCCGGAGTAAATTTTTCATCACACCAATAACACAGTCCTTTAGACCTCCTATCACTCATCTCTTCTTTAGTCAAAAACTTTTTTGGTGTTGTCATAGGTTTGGTATTTGTCTTGTTCACATAGGGAACACTTTCTCGTGGAGATGGTAACAAGCCTTTTGAATTGCTACCTGAATTCACCACTTTACCAGGAAGCCAATTTGTTACCATCTGTTTCCTTGGGTGTGCTTGCTCATACAAACGTCCCAATAGTAAACAGCGTGCTATAGTTTGTGGCTGAAACATACGCACATGCATCTGAGTATCTGTACGTAGGCCAGCTAAATATGCACTCACCAAATAAGCCTCTGACAGATTTACTCTTGTTTTAATAAGCTCAAACTTCTCATGATAAGGAACAATTCCATCATCAGTCTCTTGTAATTTTTTTAGTTCAGCAATGGGATCATCACACACATCCTCAAAACGTTCTTTCAACAATTTAACATAACCTTGCCAGTCATACAAAACTTCCAATCCAACACCCGATTGAATGAAAGAGTGATGCCAAGTAGAAGCACAACCTTCAAAATGAATCGCAGCCATTTTAACTTTTAATTCCGCCGGCGTAAAATCAACCCCAAAGAACTCCTCCGCTTTAAACAACCATTCCTTAACCCTTTTTCCGTCAAACTTTGGAAAGTTGATCTTCCCTAACCTCGTTACCCCAGCGTAACGCGCCGGTGGCTCAGATCTATCTTCTCTCTGCAGATCGGGACCACCAGAGTGATTTCCAGGTGAAGATGAAGATCGCACACCCGATTGATCAAGATCTGAGTGATTTGGACCCATATGCTGAAGACGAAAAGCTTCAAACATCTCCGCCATGTTTTTAGCCATCTTCCGATTCTGATCCGCGATCATCTCCTCCATTCTTGTGAGTCGCGATCCAACCGGATCTTCCTCCGACACCGCTTTCAACTTCGCCTCTTCCGCCGTCAGCTGAGCTCTCGTTCCCACACCCATAGCTCCGAGAAAAGAGTGGCTCTGATACCTTTAATACGGGATTTCTTCGATTCCTCTAACAACACAAATCCAAACAATCAGAAACACGATTCGATAAACAACCCAAACAACGTTCATAAAACGCAGAGAGGATTACCTCAGCCAGCTCTCAAGATGAGAGAAACCCAGCCATTACAGAGAAGGTTCTAGAAGAAAAGAGAATCTCAGAAATTACAATGATAAAGAGAAAATGTATTTAGTCGCTTATTATTTATGCAGTCTTCTAACGGCACAATCAAACTCGCCACTCTTCTTCCTCCACGTGTTGATGTTTGATTGGTGCTGTTACCACTTGATTCTCGCACGTGTAAGCCGCACGTGTTGTTCTGTATCATTTCGCTAAATCTTTCATTGGAGGGTTTGGTTCCCATCTCTGGCTCGAACCAGCTTTAGCCAGTTATGCAGGGTACGTCTTAGCTGATCTAGGCTCTGGTGTCTACCACTGGGCCATTGACAACTACGGTGATAAGTCAACGCCAATTGTAGGAGCACAACTCGAAGCGTCTCAGGGTCACCACAAGTGGCCTTGGACAATCACCAAACGTCAATTTGCCAACAACTCACACACTATAGCTCGAGCCATAACTTTTACACTTCTCCCACTAAACCTTGTAATTAACAATCCTCTGTTTCATAGCTTTGTGAGTACATTTGCATTTTGCATATTGTTAAGCCAACAATTCCATGCTTGGGCTCATGGAACCACGAGCAAGCTTCCGCCTCTCGTGGTTGCGTTACAGGATATGGGACTGCTCGTTTCACGGAAAGATCACCCGGGACATCACCAAGCACCGTATAACAGCAACTACTGTGTAGTGAGTGGGGCATGGAACAAGGTTTTGGATGAAAGTAAGTTCTTTAGAGCATTGGAGATGGCGTTGTTTCTCCAGTTTGGTGTGAGACCAAGGTCATGGAACGAGCCAAACTCTGACTGGGCAGAAGAAACCGAAATCTCCAACAACCAAGCATAGTACTTGATCTATTACAAAGATTTAAAGAATTTGCTGGAAACGTTTGTTTAGTAAGTTTATGTAATGAAGTATGAGTGTATCGAATAAAGAGCATGTATTAGGTTAAGCATAAGCCATATCAACTATTACTTGGAATCTACATTATAAGAACTATAATTTGTTTCAATAATCGTTCATTGTACAAGGTCGAAGCATTATTCATAATTTTTAAAAAGTGTACAAGTATCCTGCATCCAGAACTGTACAGACTATAAAACGTAACACAGAGTAGGCACCATGAACATGATGAACCAAAACAACATAGCTTGTTACAAAAGTAGCTTATAAAGCCTTCTTCTTCGTGTGCTTAACAGAGAAGAAGGCATAAACAGGAATGTTGATAAGTCCAAGAGAGACCAAAAGCCAGAAGAAGTAGTCAAGATGTCCTTTATTAAGGTCGTCTGGAATCCAACCATCTTTACCTCCAATTGTTGTCAAATACGCCACAAGAGTGAGGATCAACGAGCTCAGGTAGCTTCCGACTGCGGTATTGAGTAGTGCCAAAGCGCTGCATACACTTCTCATTGCATCAGGAGATTGATCATAGAAAAACTCGACTCGGCCAATGAAGAAGAAGACCTCTGCAATTCCCATCAGTATATACTGAGGGACCTGCCAAAATATGCTCATTGAAACTGTGTCTTGAATGAGCTGCAACCGCACTGTCTCAACAATAGCTGCAGCTGCAATGCTTAGGACACAGATAAAAAGACCAATGCCCATTCGCTGCAGATCAGTTAACCCTTTTGGTATACCTGTGAACCGTCTCACAAAGGGTACGATGAAACGGTCATAGATTGGGATGGCTATGAGCACGATAAGTGTGTCGAAAACCCCGAATGAAGCGGGAGGGATCTCAAAAGAGAGGAGTACCCGGTTCATGGCCCGTCCTTGTTGCACAAATAGAGTGGAAATCTGTGAATATAAGACCGAGTAGATGATCCCCGAGGCCCAGATAGGAAACATACGGATCAGAATCTTAACTTCTTCGACTTGAGTTACAGTACATAGCTTCCATGGGTTGGAAAAAGCACCGGATTTCGATTCATCTTCTGAGACTATGGCAGCTTTGTCAAGACACCTGCACAGATAAGAAAACGAAGGTTATGTTCCAGTGAACATTTCCAAAAGCTCAAAATGAGAAACTGAAAGGGGACAGATATTTTCTTGTAACCGTCAGTGTGCTGAATCTTCCTGCTTCCAGCAATTATGGAGTTTTTCTCTTGTGTTTCATACAGAAATGAGATATCTTCAGGGAGATTGAGATACAATTTACGGTATGCAGCTACAAGAACTTGGCAAACTCTAGTAATCGGGCTACCTCCCGGTTTCTGAAACCTATAAAGCGGAGTTCCAATGAAGAAACTCGCGATAGAGGCTCCCATAAACACGGTGGGAATCAAGAAACCGAGTCCCCACCCGACATTCTCTTGAACCCAAACTAGCAAAGTCGACGAGATAAATGAACCAATGTTGATAGAGAAGTAAAACCAGTTAAAGAAAGAAGCTTTTCTAACTCGTTCCCTCGGGTCAGTATCATCAAACTGATCAGCACCAAAAGATGAGACACATGGTTTGATACCTCCAGTACCAAGTGCAATAAGGTAAAGCCCTGAAAAGAAAACCGCATACTGAACGGTTGTTGCTGGTGGGCATAGAACCGCAACAAGGCCAACACATTCCGCTGGCTTTAAACCGGGAACTGAAGCCGAGAGTGTCAATAAAGCCATTCCCTAATTCAAAAACCAGATTAACTAACTATGCAATCACCTAAACAACAAACGCAACTATTCAAAGTGATTTGATTAGTCTTACAATGAAATAAATAGCAGAGAAAGAAGCAATAGTCCAGTATCTTCCCCAGTAAGAATCAGCTATAACAGCTCCAATGAGAGGTGTGATATAGCAGGTTCCTTGCCAAATCATGACGTCGCTAGCTGCAGAAACATTGGACTCGTGTAATTCACTTGTGTAATAAGTGATTAGATTCTTGGCAATTCCATAGTAAGCTAATCTCTCACAACATTCGTTTCCTGCATTGAGAGACCAAATTTGGTGATTTTAAGCATTTACAAACACAAGAGAAAAAAAAAAGATCTTTTTTTGTATACCAAGAATAAAAGGACAAGCTTTCCAGTTTCCTGTTTTCTTCTTCGATGGTGGGTTTCCATAAATGTCAACAGAACCATCTTCAGCTGAAGAAGACAATCCGGTCAAGACATTGTTCACTTCATCCTGAGATATTCAGACAACAAAAAAAAGATTGGATCAGAAGTTGTGTTGTGGCTGAAAATCAAACATTTCTTCAGCAGAAAAAAACTGACCCAGATATTACAAACAATCTTGAACTGATTTTAAACATTGAAACTGAAGAAAATATAGCTAATTCAGAAGCCAATCAGAGTAATTCGCAAAACGCAAATTGATAAATTAAGTCAAAACCTGTATAAGAAGAGATTCTTCAACGTCAAGGATTATCCTTTCGTCTTCATTGGAGTTCATCTTGTTAAACTGATTAAAGCTATTGAGAGGAGCAATTAGATTTCTGGAACTCATCAAGCTATATAATCAGATTGCGTGGACGCAATTAGATTTAGAACTAAAGCATAGTTTTTTTTTTTTTTTTTTTTTTTTTTTTTTTTTAAATGATCAAAATTGACTTCTTGCATTTTTGTTAGGAGGTAAACCCAATAACACACCAACAAATAAGAATAATAAATAGTCTAATCATTAACTTAGACTAAAGATTAATCTTAGGAGACCAAAGATTCGTGAACTTTTGGAAGGAGTCTTAAAACTGTAAGAACATGTGAGAAATACTGAGTCTTTTATTAATATAACATCATTTTTTTTGGTGGGAATTATTGATATAATATCATTATTTGTAGATAGTTTAATGTTAGATTTTTTTTTATAATTTATTTTTATTGGCGAAAATTTTGCTAAATTTTTCACTAATATAATAATTTTTAATATAGTCTTATATTTATAATATACTTTAATTTGAAAATTTATTTTAAACTAAAATATTTATAATTAATATCTTTTAAATCATATCAAATTACATTTTAAATATATTCATTTTTATGAATTATTTATATTTTTATATAATATATGATTTTAATAATATTAATATATATATATATATTTATATATTAATATATTAAAAATGTTCAAATCTCATATTTTCTTACGTAATCAATTTCAAATTACTTTAATAACTAAAATAATACCAATTTAGTATTATTGTAAATTTAAATAATATTATATAAAATAATATTAATATATAATTTAAGCTCATGTATAATGGAACTTGTTAGATAGAAAAATTTATTTTATGATTAGAAAAAAAAAATCATATAAATTATTTAATTAACTTTTTAAACTATAGTGGATTTTGATTTTTCATAAGAAAACTTGAACCACTTTTGGTAAGTGTTGCTATTTTGGTAAAACAATTTTGTAGAAGCCTACTCCATTAGTTTTTTTTTTTTGGGTAAGAATGTTAATATTTCATAATAATGAAAACAGTATAGGTTTACAATCAATGATTACAGATCTAAATTTAAAACATGGAAGCATAATCCATAACAAGAAATTCGGTCCATCCACTCTTGGTAATTGGGTCCAATATCCCTTATTTGAGTTCTTATCCTGCTAAGTTTAGCAAGCACAAGCATTCAACTTCCCTAGATTACTTATTCTTCCAAGAGAGAACAAATAGATTTGAAGATCCAATTAGGCGTTGTTGGGTTTTTTTTCCGGTCCTTTTGATCTCAAAGAAGTGTGAGTGGATTGAGGGTTGAAGAAATTGTGATATTTTGTTAGCTTTCGTTTAGGTTTGTAATCCATGTGTTTCTCCGGTATGGGGATGTTTGTCTCTACGAGTTTTCAGAATTCATTGGCTTTGTCTATAGAAAGATTTCAATAATCCTTGATGGATTTTGTGTTCTTCCATGTTTAATCAATAAAAAATTTAGAAGACAAAAAAAGACTCAGCGTAATTTTTTCATGTTAAAGTGATATGACCCATTCATGATAGTAACTACGATAGTTCGTGATTAATTAATTACAACGTTTTTTTTTTTTTTTACGAATTGAATTTGATTAAAGCAATTAGGTATCTTCTTAAATGGCCTAGCCTCCACAGCTATATTCAAGATCGTGAAGAGATTAAGCAATATTTTGATTATGTAGCTTTCATTTTGATAGGGAAAGGAGCGAATCAAGCCGTATATATATTCATGACACAAGTTAATGCAATCCCTGTCCAAGTCAAAAAGAAAGTTATACTTTACACGATACGAAACATTTATGTTGGAAAATTATGAAAACGCGTATTAAAAAAACACTAACAAATTACTAGTTTAAATTTGACTGTTAGGTGATTTTGTATTGTAGCAATACATTGGCATAATCCATCAGAATCAACACACATTAAACGGCTCAAATGGGCATGATCATTATGGACATTGAAATTGCATCTGTAAAATTTCAATGGAGCGAAAAAGAGTTTACAATTTTCAAGGGAAAAATAAAAGTTGTAAATACTTAGCCAAAACTTGGGATGAACAGTTTTTTCTTCACTTAATATTTCCATATTATCTGGTTAATACCTTGGTTTGACTGACTGATGAATCCGATATACGTAATACTACCATTGTTATTTGTCACTATAAGATAATGAATGATTAATAAGACGTATAAAAACTCTCTTCACATTTATTTTTATTTCTGTATATTAAGTAAGTGCATAAGACTCATCATTTATATATATGTGGAATGATATTGGGAACACAATCTCACTTCTACACAAACAGAACATTATTTTAGATCCAAAAAGAAAAAAAACAAATTAGAGTCAAATAGATGAATATCACCAAGTTACTTGTGGTGGTATTCATTGCAGCTTTGATTGGTAATGTTGGGGGACGTCATATCGGTGGAATGGTCAATCATACCAAACTCATGAATCCAAAACTGCCAATTAGAAATGTGTTTGAAGGCATTGGAAACTCTACTAATAATGCTATAGGCGGAGCTACTAATGGCACCAAAACTCCTCTTAGTGCCGTCGTTGTAGAAGTTGCTCCATTTCCTATCACCACTAATGGCACCAAAGCTCCTCTTAGTGGTGGCATCGGAGGAGTTTCTCCGTCTCCTGTAACAAAAGGCGGAGCAACTAATGGCACCAAAACTCCTCTTATCGGTGTCATTGTAGGAGTTTCTCCCATCCCAGAAAGTGGAGCCACTATTGGCACCAAAGCTCCTCTTACTGGTGGCGTTTTAAAAGCAGTTCCTCTACGTGAAGGCGGAGAAACTCTTGCCACTAACAACACTGGAACTCCTAGTGTTTCCCTTATGGGAGTCGGTACTACCGTACAAAGCGAAGTTCTTTTTACTACTAAAAACGTTGAAACGAGATTTGTCATTAATGCGAAGGTGAGTGAAGATGGTAGCAATGGTGGGAGGAAAGGTGCAAAGCCCTGAAACGTTAATGAAGCTATAAAGTATAAATGTTCATGCTTAGGCTTATATATACGTATATATGTTCTCTACAAAGTCAAATTAATTAATCTCTTTTGTATGACAAAACAAATAATTTAGAGATTGTGACTTTCTATTTCTTCATTTTAATTTCCAATATTATAAAAAGAGTTCCGATACACCGTAAAGGTTTAAAGTTTTATGTGTAAATCAAATATCAATATAAATATTTTCATATTTTGTCTTTTGTAGGATTTGTGATTAGAACTTGCAAATGTCAATAGCTTTGGTACATGAAACTTGGACCGCGCGCCCTTTTGTTGTTGTAGATTTCTATCAGTTTATAAGATTTTGTCATTTAAATCTACCTTATTCAGGAAAGTCTTGAGTGTATAAAATGGTATCTCTAGGTTTAAGAACTTCATGAAGTTGCCAACTTAAATTGCTCGAAAAATTGTGTGAAAAGTGAAAACAGTAGATATGTGAATCTGGGGATTTACAATTTATGAATTGTGTAGAAAAAGGTTTGGTACTTGAATACGCTTTTCATACGACATACATACTGAAGATATAAATTCTAGAGGTTTTACCATGTAGACAGTGTAAACTAAACTAAATCTCAATGTAAAAAATACAGGTGTATAAATTAACATCGAGCTGCTTGATTTCACATTTCATAAATGTATCAACATGAAGAACCAATATCATAGTAGAAGCTTGACACCAAGACTATAAAGTTTCCATGTTGTTTGCCAAAAAAAAAAAAAAAAATAAGACTATAAGTTTCAATGTAAAACTAATCTTCTTATAGGAAGCCCTTTAATTTGTTGTTCAAAATATATATATACGAAGCCCATCTATATCTACTAAATTGACAGTCACTTTTTCAATAACTGCAACTCTATCTATCTTACACGTGTCTTAAGTCTCAATTCTTCTACTTTTACTTTTGGACACACATTATCTATTAGAGAACAAAAAAAAAATTGACAGAAAAAAAAAAAGAAAAACAGTCGTAATTTGCAACTGTTATTTTCCTTCCCCAGTCCCCACGATCTAAAATTCTCAAATTCCCTTCCCCTCAAACAAAATATTATTATTTCCTACAAAAAGCCTCCACCTCTTCCTTCTTTCTCTGATTCCGTTTTCCTGCAATTTCTTCTTAATCAACTGCTTCCATCCCACCATTTCCAAATTCTCAACTTCTCCTCCATCCCACGGATTAGACAAAAGCATCATCAGTCTCTTCCATTTTCGATTCCCTTTTCCTCTACCTCATCTCCATTTTTTTTCAATAAGATTTGTCATTTAATTGAATTTAAATTTATAAACAATTTTAATTTTAATTAAAAACACCCTAAAGTCATTTCTTCCCGTGCAGAGCACGGGCTATAACACTAGTTTTCTACTAAACATAGAGACGTACTATATATATCCGAGGCATGATCTCTCAAAGATCTATCAAGGTAGCGAAGATTGGGACATTATTTAATCCAGCTGATATTGGTACTATCTCAAAACATTAAACATGAAGTTAGAATTAAAAACTGTAAATTCTAAGAAAATAGATCTGCCGATCTAATAGTTCTTTTTCTTCTTTTACAATTTTCGTAATATCTTGTTTTAATGGCTTGACAGACTAATTTATCTGATTTGAGAACATTATATTACGTAAGAAAACATCTAATACTATTATCTACCATCGTCTACAATTTGGGTTTTCTTACACACCATTTTTGGAAAATGGAGATCTAAATTGACATTACATTTGAAAGACAATATCCCCTATATATTAATAGAGAAACATTTTTAAAAAAAAACCTTACCATCATGTGTTATTAACAAGATTGCCACGCTGATGTGTCGCTCTCACAATGATTTGGCTTCTATTTAGATAATTACCCAAGATTTATTAGACTATTTACAGAATTTGCCATTAGTCTCATACATCCATATATCCCACTAATCAAAAACGAATTTCTAATTAAAAATTAAAAAAACACACAATCTATACGAGACAAACTTTATTATTTCTATATTAGCAAACACATTAACAACACATAACAAATGTTACATTTTTCTATATATGCATAACAAATAAAAAATCTGTATTATCTAATATTAAAATGTAAGACATGCTACGTCCAAGCTTAAACTTAAAATCAAACATACATTTTTTATTTCATAAATCGAGCAAACTAATGGTCTATATATTACTAGATTAGTTACAAATGTCCCATGATATTCTAATTATTTTTAAATCTAGACTAACACATATATATATATATATATATATATATATATATATAGATATATTTAACAACTCAAACATGTAAGCGTATAATTCATGTAAATTAATATATTAGAATATATTTTTATAACTTTTGTAAGTACAAATTTTCCTAGGTTCATAAATCCAAACTACATTTATAAAATTAATTCTCAAAACTAAATCTATCATAAAATCAACAATAAATTAATTTTTCAAATTTTGAAGGCAATCCAAATTTCAAAAATTAAACGGAACCCTACAAAAATATTTCTCTATAAATATATTCCCTGATATCATCTTCATCCTCTCAAATTTACCAAACACACATCTTCTTAGTTTTCGAGCAATCTAAATTTTTTAAATCTTCATCAACTCTTTTACAAAGATGTATATGTGTTTGTTATTTAAGTTACGTTAGAAAAGAAATTGTCGTCTTTAATTATTTTACGGGTAAAACGAATTCCGATACGAAAAATCGATGATTGGAATATAAAACGTTTTTTTTAAACATGTTTCATAATACACTAACAGATTTTGGATTCCGGATAATAATACAATAATTTTTGTAACTAAAACTACAATACACTTCTTTAATTGTCATTTCATCCCGCACATAGTGCGGGTAATTTATCTAGTTAATATATATATATATATATATAACGTTTTATATAATCATGGACTACAATAGTTAAATCCTTAGAGACACCGTTTTGGTGAGTTAACTCGTATGTTATAAGCATAAGTCATTTCAGTAACTATATTGGTATCAAAATGTACATTCATATTAATTCAAATAATATGTTTTCGTCTACCAAAATCTATCCACATATATAAACATGCGATTGATCTTGGGCAAGAGACGTATTAAAATATATATTATAATCTTGGTATGACTATTAGTTGAAATTTGACTAATGCATTTAACAATGTATATTTCTTTTTGATAAAGAATGCTCACGTACCTTAATAAATACATGTGTATCCAGTGTGAGACTGTGAGTGTGTATATAAAGATGGCTATCATCTGGGAAGAAGAACACAATACAACTCACCACAAACACACAACTGGATTCAAAACAAAACATCAAAAGATGAATGCCACAAAGTTTGTTGTGCTTCTCGTGATTGGCGTTTTGTGTGCCATTGTCACCGCACGGCAGGTCGAAGTTGTGTCCAAGGAGACCAAATTAGGCACCTCTCTTTCAAAAACTACTACCAAAGGCATTGGAGCTCAGCTTTCTGCTTATGGCAGAACTGACAGCAGCTCTTACGTCTTCAGCTCTGCTACTGCTTTTAAAAACCCCAAAGGTCCAGGGGCCAATGCATACGAAGGTGGCTCCACATATACTGACGGAATAGTCTATGCCAAGGGTCACAAGGCAAAAGTTTCTTCTGCTAGTCGTTCTAAAGCTAAAGGCGAGGCTAAGGCTGCAGCGACTCACAAAGCTGCTTATGCACGTGCAAAAGGTTCGGTAAAATCCGACTCAAGGGTGAAGGGTTCCTCTCAGAAGAAGGGCCACAAAGGAAAAAAGCATTGAGCGTGAGGTGATCTCATGCTTATTGCTCAAACCTATTAATAATATCCTACAAACTACAAACTCACAATCTCTTTTCTGTTCATAAATAAAACCAGAGATTGTCACCTCTAAATATTATAATGAAATGCTACTCTTTCTCATGTAATGGCTTTTTGGATAATAAAATAAATGCAATAAATACGATCTTATATTAATCTTCTTCAGTAATCGTAAAACATATAAATATTTAACACTTAAATATATTTGTGAAAGAGAAACTTATGAACATGTGAATATGATGACTCTCCAAAACAACATGGTTTTGTTGTCTACTTAAACATATAGACGTACTATATCCGAGACATGATCTCTCAAGGATTTATCAAGGTAGCGAAGACTGGGACATTATTCAATCCATCTGACTAAATGTGCTCTCGTTGGAAAGCTAAAAGGAGTTTTATTTTTTGGACTGTTTAGCTAAAAAAATCATAAGCATTTAAGGAAAAAAAATCTTTTATATAAGATTTTTCTTTTTAAATTAGCTATAAAAAGAAAATATAACTTAATAAATTTCAAAAAAAAAAAAAAAAAAAAAAACTGGGCTCTTTTTATCATGGTTCCGGACCGTTTCTTATTTAAGCCGGTTTTCAACATAACGCTTTAGGTGAATCACTGTTAGTAACCTGTACTCAGTTTTTTTCAAGTGAAAATTAAATATTATAAGTTCTAAGCAAATAGACTTGCCGATAAAACAGTTAGTTTTCTTCTTTTATAATTTTCGTATAATTTGTTTTAATGGCTTGACGGACTGATTTATCCGATTTGAGAACATTTTCGTATAATATACTATTATATTCTGTCACTATAAGATGTTGAACTGAATTTACCAATATGTACGTCAGATTAAACACTCTCAAGTAAATTAATTATCTAATTTAAACCAAATCTCTTTCACATTTATTTATTTCACTGTAACAGTTAAGAAATTTCACATTCAATTCCTTTTGCTATTTGGTGAAATATGTTAAATATAATATATTTTTTTAAAAAATATCATGTTGGCATTTTGTTTTTGTTTCGTCACATGTACATAAGGCAACACAAAAGGTTAAGCACTTGTAGCAGCCAAGTATGAAACTCCTAATTATTCCATGAAATTAACATCAGCGTTAACATCTATAAGGGCTAAATCGAATATATATATATGTTGAGTGATGCAACTAGAGAGAGGAGAGCTTAGGGAGAACGATCATGTTGGAAGAAGTCACTGAAAGTAGTAGGAGAAATAGACTGATATATAGAAAGTAAGAGAGCATATATTAGGTACAGAAAAAAAGGAGATGATTTACAAGAACTGTTTGATGCCAAAGCCAAAGTCGAGACGAAGACGTAAGCCAACTATTCTAGACCCATTTGGCCACTCAATGCGGGGCGAGGACGAGTGAAAGGGTTTTGATGGGAGTAACGTCAGGTGAAGATGTGTCTACCCCAATGCCCGTTGAGAGAGAAAAAAAAAATTGATAACGAGCAATGCGGAAAACAATAAAACTCTCTTTCATCATCAATGCGTCGAGGGCTTAGAGTTTTGTAGTTTAGAGTCCTTGAAACCGCAACCTTTGGAAGGTCTTAGGAAGTATTACTAAACTAAAAGCCGATGATTTTTAAAGTGTATAAAATGAAAATAAAACGTGAAATCATCTTTAACAATAAGCATCAAGAAAGTAAACATGGACGTATAGAGTTCTACGGGTAATCACCTACTAGGCTACTAATCAAATAAACTAGTTTAATATTTGATAATTTAAAATAGTATCATGTTGACATCTTGGTACGACTGACTATTAGTTAGTTGTAATTTGACTAATGCATTTAAGCATATATATTTCTTGTAAGAAATGCTCATGTATCATAATAACTACATGTGTATCGAGTTTGTGTATATATAGAGGGCTATGATTTGGGAAGAAGAACACAACACAATTCACCACAAACACACAACTTAATCCAAAAATCAAAAGATGAATGTCACAAAGTTTGTTGTGCTTCTCGTGATTGGCGTTTTGTGTGCCATTGTCACCGCAAGGCAGGCCGAACAAGTGTCCAAAGAGACCAAATTAGGCACCTCTCTTCCAAAATCTACTATCAAAGGCGTTGAGGGTCCCAAAGGTCCAAGGGCCGATGCATCTGAAAGTGGCTCCACAAGTACCACCGGTCGTGTCACTGCCAAGGGTCGCAAGGCAAAAGTTTATTCAACAAGTGGTTCATCCTCTACAGGAGGGTCTCAAGCTGCAGTGAATCGCAAAGCTGCTGCTGCAAGTGCAGGTGGTTCCACAGATTCCGGCTCCACTGTGAAGGGCTCCTCTGAGAAAAAGGGCAAAGGAAAAAAGAATTGAAAGTGAGGTGATCTCATGCTTATCGCTCATACCTATTAATTAATATCCTACAAACTACAAATTCACAATCTCTTTTGTGTTCATAAATAAAACCAGAGATTGTCACCTTTACTTATTATGAAATGCTAGTATTTCTGTGTATGCCTACTGATGATAAAAAAATGGCAATAATTATAATATTCTCAATGATACATATTATATCCTCTCTTGATTGATTTTTCATGTTTAAGTCAAATCTTCGTCATCTCTATCAATCTTCTTATTGTTAACTATATCATCATAATTAACGAAATATAAGTAATAGTACTCTACGCTCTGTGTTATATTAACTCTTCTAGAGAGGGAACTTCTAATACTTGAGCTTTAAATTTATAAAACTTTAAACCAATACACAAGTGCATGTAACCACGAAGAGTACTTAAGGATTGATCCACAAGTAGATAAAGATCGTACATTAAAGATACGTGACTGGAACTAATCTAGAGAAATTGATTTTTGGATACTTATTTGTTTTAAAGGGAAAACATGTGATCATGGATTAACTATCATGAGAATTTATTTAAAATCAAATAATAATGCAAAGATTTGAATTAAACACTATACAAGAAATGAAGCTAACAAATATAACTCCTTCATTTTTATGACATTAATCACTTAATTAATTCTCTAATTATCATAAAAAAAATTTGGCAATTAGATGATAAATGAACATTAACATGCAACAATTCCAGTTTGTTCAATAATCATCAACTCTCGTTGGCTAAGTTAGTAAAACTCATAAAAGCTTGGTTTAAACATTTTCACAAACACATTCCGGATATGAAATGCTTAAGGCTTAGATTTTGAGTAATCAAATGAAAATCAGCATTAAACTCAATCTATATAGAGGATCTATCAAGAAGGAATCTAAATCATCATCATCTAATCATCACCATCAAATTTCCTTATTCTAGCATTACCCATACATCAAAAAGGCTACTCACTAAACATTAAAACGATTACAAAGAAAAAGAGTTGCACAAACATAAACATAAAAGATAGAGTTGAAGAACCTTCACTAAAATAGCATGAAATGTTGAAACTCAATCCAAAATTTCAATCACAAAGTTTGGATCTAAATCAATTTTTGAAAAAGATAAACTTAGTTTATAATGTGTTTAAAATTACTTAAATACATAATAGGTTCAAACAGAGACGACTCGAGACGAAACGAATCAAATCTTGGATAACTGGATCATGAGGAGGTCTACAATAGGGTGATTTGCCCGCTGCAGCATGCCACTGAAAATTTTGAGTTTTGTAAAACAGGTTCAAGCGGGGTGATTTTCCCGCTTGAAAATGGCAGCTATATCTTCTCTAAAATTTCCGGTTGAGTTTCTTATGCACTCTAGATTGAGATTTTCCCACTAAATCGTAACATATCTTTCGAACTGTTATCACAATAACTACATGTGTATTGAGGTTGTGTATATAGAGAGGGCTATGGTTTGGGAAGAAGAACACAACACAACTCACCACAAACACACAATTTAATCCAAAAATAAATAAAATCAAAAGATGAATGCCACAAAGTTTGTTGTGCTTCTCGTGATTGGCGTTTTGTGTGCCATATATTGTGACCGCAAGGCAGGGCGAAGAAGTGTCCAAAGTGACCAAATTAGGCACACCTCTTCCAAAATCTACTATCAAAGGCGTTGGAGCTCAGCTTTCTTCTGCTGCCGCAACTGACAGCATCACTTCGGGGTCTAGCTTTGCCAGTGCAACTAAGGGTCGCAAAGGTCCAAGGGGCGATGCATCCGAAGGTGCCTACACAAGTACCACCGGCCATGTCGATGCCAAGGGTCACAAGACAAGAGTTTCTTCTACAAGTGGTTCATCCTCTACAGGAGCGTCTAAAGCTGCAGCGAACCACAAAGCTGCTTCTTCAAGTGCAGGTGGTTCCATAGGTTCCGGCTCCCGTGTGAAGGGCTCCTCTGAGAAGAAGGGCAAAGGAAAAAAGAAGGATTGAGAGTGAGGTGATCTCATGCTTATCGCTCAAGCCTATTAATATCCTAAAAACTACAAACTCACAATCTCTTTTGTGTTAATAAATAAAACCAGAGATTGTCACCTTTGTTTATTATACATGAAATGCTACGTACTATTCTCTGTAATGGCTACTGATGATAAATAATTGCAATAATAATAATTATAATTTCTCAATGATATATTATCTCTTCTCTTGATTGTTTTTCTCCGTCTAAGTCAAATCTCCGTCATCTCTACCAATCTTCGTATTGTTTCCTCTATTTTTTGTTATATATATCTTAAAATTAAACTAGGCGTGCTTACTTGAGGAATTTTGAATATTTTGAAGTTTTTAAAGTTACAAATTAAGTGAATTTTAATAAATATTTCATTTTCAACGCATAATACACATTCGTGCATGGTGTTATTTAACTCAATCATATGTCATAGTCATTTACTTTTGTATCTTGCTTGATATTAAAAAAAATGCATGGTGCACTTGAATTGGGCAGTACTTCCAAATTAACAAATGGCTAAAATACTGGCTGGTTTGATTATTTTAAGCATGTAAACTTTGGAATGACATATCATTTAAAAAAAAATATTAGTTTCGTCCCAAGCGCAATTCGAACCGGCGATTTTTAAGTTTTGCCTAGGATCTTTACTAGTTGATCTAACGACACTTGATCATCATATCTCTTACATAATTACATTTATAAAAGTTTTTGAAATCCTCAACTCTACAAAATCACCATAAACATATCCAAAAACTTTATCAGTGTTATGTTTCCGTAGACTAAACTGATTTTTGTGGCCTCTCCTAAACCACGATAGTCACTCATGTAGTCATGTCTTCTAGCGTACTGTGTATACAAACTGATTAGGCACATACCGATCATTAAACCGGTTTATCTTGGTTATTTGAATTCGCAATCAACACTTTTTCTTGTTCTTTTGCTAGATTGTTGGATCATCGAAACAAGGTCGCAGTATTTCATGATCACACCCTATCTATTATTTAGGAAGATCACTATTTCATAGATTTTTTTCCTTTATTTAAGAAGATTATTATTGCATTTATTTTATTTAACAATATACATCACACAAAGAGTAGCATCATAATAAATAAAGGTGACAATCTCTACTTTTATTTATGAATACAAATGAGATTGCTGGGTTTGTAGAATATTATTAATATATATATATATAGATATATATATATATATATAGATATATATATATAGATATATATACGCGGAGAAATGAGCACGATCACCTCACGGTTTAGGCCCGGTGCTGCCATATGTAACAGTGGTGCCACCTCCAGCACCGTTTCCTTTGGCGGTGGCACCTTTGCGACCGGCTGCAGCATTAGCACGGCCTCGACCAAAAGCAGTACTCATAGAAAAAGCTGTTGCGTTGGGACCCTTCGCAATGACAAATCCGCTGGTAGTTCCATAGCCGCTTCCATTTGCACTGCTGCTGGCACCTTTGCGACCCTTTATTTTAGCATCACCATAGCCATTGCCATCACCGATAGACTGAGTATAAATAGTAACAGTAAACTCAGCGCCTTTGGTAGCTTTGGGAATAGAGACGCCTAATTCGGTCTCTTTGGATCCTTCTTTGAGCTGCCTAATTGCACCAACAGTGGCACACACAACTCCAATCAAGAGAAGCACAAGAATATTTTTAGCATTCATCTTTATGTCTCTCCTTTTTGTTTTCTAATCAAGATGTTTTTTTTTTAATTTCTTTTGAAGTGTTTTGTGCTGTGTTACTCCCACATCCCTAGCCTCTATGTATACACATGTAATTATTAGGATATGAGTTCATTTCTTACAAGAAAAAAAAATATCCTTTAATGCAATAGTTAATATTTTAACCTATAACTACTAGTCTTACCTATATGTCAAATTAATAGTACCATCTAAACACCTTGCCAAAATCAATCTCCATTACAACATTAACTATTTGTTTCTAAATTGTCTTCTGATTTAATTATGTGACTATCAAATATTTAATTAGTTATTTGTCTAAAGTAAGAGTATACCGGTGCCGTGAAGAAAAAAAATTGACTTAATTCCATTTTAGATTATTTTTACTAACACCAAAGGATTGCATTATAAATCTTAAGAATTGAGATCTAAAAACCGACACATATGGATTTAGATTAACTACATACTGTATGTGTGTAGAACATTGTTAGTTTAAAAGAACATTCTGAATACATAAATCAAATGTGTAAATTTTTTTGAGATACCTGATTTTTTTATTTTTTTTGTTAAAGGATCTTAGATACCTTATTTATCTAAAAGATATGCTTACAACATCCAATATACGTTTGATGGCCCTCGAGCGTGACATCTTTTTTTTTTTGAATTTATATATAATTATACATGTTTTGCTAAGATATATATGATAAATCTATCAAAGATTATAATTCTATTGATATTGTTCTCCTAGCCCGAAAAAATGTGTGGACCAAAAGCTCATTTCGTAGATTAACAAATTAAACCCTAATCTATAATACTATTTTCGACATATAATTGCGATATTATACGGTTTACAAATGTATATCTTATTTGAGAACATTACGTAAATGGTATCTAGTATACTAGTATTATGTTTGATGGGCCCTAGGGCAAAAAAAATTTTGGGCCCTTAGAATTTATTTTTTTTAGTGTTTTTGTGTTAGAAATATTTTTTAATGATATTTTTAATAAAAATTTAATTATTAAAACTAAAAACAGTAAATAAAAAAATTTATGGGCCCTTATAAATTTTATTTTTATATTGTAATCTAATTTTTTAATATCTTTTATAAAAAAAAATTTTAAAAATGGGCCCCTTAATTATTAGAACACGGGATTGGACCCCTGGCCGTCGCACCGCCCGCCCCTATATCTGAGCCGGCACTGGGTAGAGGTGGAGGTGGAGGTGGTGGCGGCGGAGGCGGTGGTGGTGTTGATGGTAGTGGAAGTGGCAGCGGTAGTGGGAGTGGTGCCGGAAGCGGCAATGTCTTTCATTGAAGCTTAAATGGTATCTAGTATACTAGTATTATGTTTGACCTTATTCTAAGCTTCTATATATAATAGCATGGTTATAGGTAGGGGTGTCAAAATGGGTCAAGATTCATGGGTCAACCAAAACTCAACTCAACCCATGAACCCTAATGAGTTGAAAATTTTGACTCAAATGAGTTGATGGATCAAATGAGTTATTGAGTCAAATGGGTTGCACTACAAGAAAACACGCGTTTTGCGATGGAAGGATTTCTAGCTAATCCCTCGCAAATCGACAATCGCAAGGGATTTGCGATGAACGTCAGTTCCTCGCAATTCGCGTCTCGCAAATCGTTAAACGTTGCAAGTCCCTCGCAATTTTTGCGAGGAAAATTTTCCGTAACAAGTCCCTCGCAAATTATGTCTAGTAAATCCGTCGCAAATATTGCTACGAATCTGCGACAATTTTAGAATTGGTATATTTTTATTTTTTTGTATTTATCACTGCTACTGATTTGCGAGGGATCATAAAATTTTTATAAAAAAATAAAAAATTTTTTTACGAAAATAATATAATTTATTAAAACAAAATTATAATTGAAGTGAGTTTATAATATTCAAAATACAAAAAAAATCAAATTGACAAATTAAATGCAACTTAACTAAAATTTCTCAAAATTAACAATTTACAAAATAATAACAATTTTTTAAACTTAACAATTGGTAAATTAATATATATAATTGGGATTTAGATCTCCTCCATCTCTCCACCTCTGACGAGTCTCCGCCGACTTCCACCAAGCCTCCGCCGAGCCTCCGCCAAGCCTCCGCCGAGCCTCCGCAAAGCCTCCGCCGAGCCTCCGCTGAGCCTCCGCCTTCATCTCTCCACTTCCGACGAGGCTCCGCCTTCATCTTTCCATCTCTCCCTTCTTTGCCTTTAGATCTCTCTCGCACACCTCTCTCACCACCTTCGATTCAGCTTTGCCGTCATCTCCTCCCTTCTTTTCCTTCAGATCTCTCTCCCACACCTCTCTCTCCACCTTCAATTTGGCTCTGCCGTCATATCCTCCATCAAATTACGGGAGCGGCAGAGATGGCAAAGATGAACGATGGCTTTGGCGGAATCAGATCTACATTTGTTTTTCCTAGAACCACCACCACCGTTTGATTTTCCTAGAACAGAAGTTGTTACCAAAAGAAAAGGAGAAGAGAAGTTGTCGTAAAGAAGAAATAAGGAGTATAGAAGATTAAGACCATCTCCAATGTATTTCCCTATTTTTATCTCTATCTCTATAATAGAGGTAAGTTTTCTCTATTTTTACTCCAATGTGTTCCTCTATTTTTTCCTCTAAAAAGTTTAACTCTATTTATAGAGGAAAAAATAGAGATTCTCTATTCTCACCTCTATATATAGAGAAAAAAATAGAGATCTCTATTTTAGAGGTGAGAATAGAGGTGGGTTGGAGTAAATTTGCCTCTAAAATAGAGTTTAGAGGCAAATATAGAGGTAGGTTGGAGATGCTCTAAGAACGAGAAGTTTTTGATAAATAACATAAAAAAGAAAAGAAAAGAAGGAGAAGATTTCATCCGTTAGATTAAATGCATCAACGGTAGGGAATAAACCAAAGGTCAATCCTTGTCTCTATAGATTAGCCAATAAGAAGCTTTGGTTTACTTTGTTTTTTATTTGCTTTTGTAGTTTTTGATTTAATATGTATGAGTATTAAATTTAAGGTTTCGACTTTATAATATATAAGGTTTGGAATTTAAGTTTTAGAAATTTGGAATTGGGATTTTAGTTTTGAATATATTTAATAATTGAATTTTTGGTTTAGAGATTTAAATTTATAAGTAAATAGTATTTTTAAAAGATTGATTTATGTAAAGTAAATATATGTATATTGTTCTAAATATTGGCTTTATGTATATATAATGGTTAGTTTGTGGTTTTATGGTTTATGATTTAATTTTTATGATAAAGAGTTTTAAAGTTAGGAGTTTATGATTTAGGGTTTTGAGTTAGGTTAAGGGTTTGGGTATATGATTTGGGGTTTAGGTTTGGGGTTAAATTAATATTATTTAACTAACAAAATCTATAAAAATGTATAAGTTATTTTTTCTTAATTTTTTTGAAAAATTAATTCCCTCGCAATGTTTAAAATGTTTTGGAAATAAATCTTAAAATTGGTTTTAATGATTTTTAAAATTTTTGCGAGAGAATTGCGAGGGACCGTAGCAAATATTTTAAATAATTTAGGGTTTAGGGTAAAGGTTTGCGAGGGAAGTGCTACGAACGCCTTGCAAATGCCTCGCAACTTCATTGGTTTAGGGTATAGTTTTGCGAGGGAATTACTAGTAGTCCCTCGCAAAACCCTCGCAAAAGAGAATCAATTTGAAAAAAACAACAAAACACTACTAAAAATCATTCGGATTCATTTTTTGAATCATTAGGAAGTTAATTATCTTCATTAGAATCTACTCCATCATCAGATACTTCGAATTCGTCCGAATGTGCATTTTCTTCAAATACATCAATTTTGTCTTATGTTTTTCTATTATATGAATCAATGTCTATAACATTTTCTATTGAAAATGTTGGTATTGAAACCTATCCAACTCTTTTTTATGCATCACCACATATTCAACTTGTTCGATTATATGGCCTCTTGGATTCACTTTTATAAATGAAAATCAAAGTTTGCAAAATACTTTTACGTATTTTAGGGTTTAGGGTAAAGATTTGCGAGGGATGTGCGGGTGATTTGCGACGGATTAGGTCTTTCCCACAAAGTACTCGTAACTCCCTCGCAAATTTGCGAGGGAAACTATCCCTCGCAATGTTTGCGACGGAATTGCGACGCGCGTTCAGGTTGTAGCAAATTACTTGCAATGCCCTCGCAAATTTGCGAGGGATAGTTTCCCTCGCAAAGTTGCGTCGCAAATCGACTGTTTTCTTGTAGTGTTGATGGATCAAATGAGTTGGGTTATAATGGGTCAGTGGTTTCAATGGTTTACCCATTTAACCCATCAATTTTTGTTAAATTGAATCAAACCAATTCAAATCTCTAAACCGATTTCAATTTGAGTCTAACCAAAACTTCTAAACCGATTGAATATAGTCCTTAATTTTTCCGCCAAAAATGTAAATACACAATTTTTCCATCAAAATATAAATTCGTGATTTTCCCGCCAAAAACGTAAATCCGCAATTTTCCCGCCAAAAACGTAAATCCACAATTTTCCCGCCAACATTTTTTTATAATTTTTAACCAAAAACGAAAAATATGTAATTTTCCCACCAAAAACGTAAATCCGTGATTTTCCCGCCAAAAACGTAAATCCGTGATTTTCCCGCCAAAATTTTTTATAATTTTAAGCGAAAAATGAGAATGTAAAATTTTTCCGCCATAAACGTAAATCCGTAATTTTCCCGCCAAAAACGTAAATCCGTGATTTTTCCGCCAAATAATAGTGACGTTGATTATTATTATTATTATTATTATTATTATTATTTTAATTATTAATTTATTTATTACATTAATAGGTTAATGAGTCAACCCATTTAACCTTCTAACCCATCAAATTAAATGAGTTGATGGGTTGACTCAACTCATTTGGCTAAATGAGTTGAGTCAACCCATGAACTCATTTAACTCTAAACTCATTGGGTAATGAGTTGAGTTGAGTTGGGTTAACCATTTTGACACCCCTAGTTATAGGTAATACTCATATAGTATCATTAAGAATTTTTTAGTATTATTTATAATGTTTGTTTATTGTTTGAGATTTTTATGATACCCCTACTAAATATGTTTGCATTGGTGATACCGGTTTAAGTATCATAAAAAAAAAAATTTGCAAAATCAAAAATAAATTTATAAAAACATAGGATTACAAATGCATTGGTGAATTTTTTTTTTTTTTTTCTGCTTTCACAAAAAAACGCGTTTCAGAGACAAATCAGGAGCCGCCACGTCATCCGATACTGGGTATCAAAAGTAACACTGCAGTGATACTGATCAGGGCCAAATTCATTGTCTGATCCATTAAAAAATTATATTTGGGCTCTTGATACTCTAATTGTATCACCTATGGACATGGTCTAACATTCTTATTCGATGCTCGTCTTATGTGTGATATGTCCATTGAATATACTTAACCACAATAAGCTCTTTTTATATCACAAATTCATAATATTTTGATCGCGGTTTTATATGTTTGTGTATTTAAAACAGTTTCTAATTGAATTACAGTATTTGTTAAAGTGATTCCGCACAGTATAAGATCATGTAGAACATTATGTTTAGAGAGATAGATATATTTTTACAGTATCGTAAATCTGAGGATTAACTAATATGAACTACAAAAACCTTCAACACTTTACAATATCGGATTAACGAAACGATAAAAACATCTTGAAGAACAGAAGATTCAAAGAACAAAACAAAGATACCTTATAGTTAAACCCGTGGCCATTGAGGACTCACTACCTACGAATACGATAAACAAAGAATTAAGTTTTAAAAACCTAACATTCCGATGATTTTTGACTCTTGACGCAACATTTGGCGAATTAAAATCACAATCCGTTTTGAAACAGAGGACATAAAATAACAATTCACTTTTTCATAAGAGAGATATAATGAGACTAACCTCGAGAGTGCTAAAGACCAGTCGCATTCTGCTGGCCACAACCGACGGCTCCTCCGCTTGTCCTGTCACCGCCATCTGCTCCAACTGAAGAGTCTTCACCGGCAGCCTACAATCACACCATGGTCCAATGATGGCATTTCCGTAAATATGCATAGATTTCACACTCTTTACAAACATCCCATTTTCGTCTTAGAATGGATTAGAAAATGACAGAATCGAACCAAACTCGAATAAATTGATCTTACCATGCCATTCCTCTAATATAGTATGCATTGGCTATAACCGCGCAAAAGCCTCTCCATTTGCTTAGAATTTCATCGGAAACCGAAGGAGTCGATGACCATCTTATGACTGTTGGTTGCGGTGTACACAAGATCGTGATGAATACAATCCTAAGCCACAATATGCATTCATCTACCTGCGGAATTAAAACCGCCATTTCAAAATTGATAGGGCAGAGCTAAGATCTGATACGACTTAGCTTATATCATAACCAATGATATCACAATTTCGTTGTAACTAACAAACTAACTAACCTCGGACAGCAAAATTTTGGATTTAGTCTGTGTGCTTCCGCCATAACTCTCCATTCTTTCAATCTCTAAACCCGAATCTTTCATAGCCATTAGTTCTTTTCTCAAATCTTCATCTGTGCAACCGAGCGCATATGCATTAACACCAGCGGATATGAATTCCTTAAGATACACACACAAACAAATAAATGAAAGATGGATAATACAATCGAGAAGAAAGCAAGAATGACGCAAATAAAAAAGGGAAGTTACTTTTAAGGTTTCGCCTTCACCGCGTCCAATCACGGTCCTGTAACGTCTTAAAAGACTTATAGCTATGTTGCGTGATGAACGGTACTCATCATCCGATGAAATCGAGTTGTTGCGTGAGTTACAAAACTTGATGAAATCAAAAGAACAAATACAAAAAGCTTAGAAGCTATATAGATATGGATGTAAAACTTGCATCGAAGAGATGGAAACTTAATAACTAACCATCCATCTCCTTCGAGGCTGAATTTGACCTTTTGGAGAAAAAGATGAAAGATAACAGTCCACATTCCTACAAGGAACTATGGATCTTGGAGAGACAGAACAACTAATCAGAGGACCAAAAGGCGCAGTCTTGAATCTGCGTAAAGCGACATTGCAGCTAATAGAGATTTGGACTTTGTCGATAGTTCCCGAAGGATACGCAACTAACATTTCTCAACCATATCAATGAAGCAGTGCCCTAATCTGCATAAGAGAGAAGTTTTTTTCTTTGAGTAACACAACTATATTAGGAATTAAGATGTATAAGAGTCTAAGATACTGAATGATGTTCTAGAAAACAAATTCAGCTTTCCTGTTCAAATTGAAACCCTAATTTCATCTCAATTCACTCTTAGTCCTTACAGATTTCTATGAGTGGAAAAAAAAAACCTCAAATGATTTGGATTTGGAGATTAGCTAAATTTGCGATCATAAGATTTGTATTAGCTAAAAAGGGAAATCAAAACCTCTGATCTTTGTAAAGTCTCTAGAATCTCCTAATCACTAACCAGAAGCACAGGACCAATTCACTGCATAGTTACAATCATTTAAAATTCATCTGAGATTAAAAGGAAAGATATGAACAAAAAGGCTTACCCTTTTGAGAAACCTAGATTCAGATTCAGCAATTCATATGCAAATTTTTGGTTTTTTAATCTCCAGGAAAGAATTGGATGAAGCAGAAGCTATAGATACATGTGTGTATGTATTGTAAGAGGTGAATTTGACGCCACCAATAATTTGAATGGCTGCAAAAAAGAAAAACATCAAATTTTAAATTAATCTAGACAAAGATTCTTTTTATTTTATTTTTGAGCACTGGAAAAAAAACAGAGAGAATCAAACAAGAATCGTGGGGATTCCTAAAACGGTGTCGTTGAAATATTAGTCCGATGAAGAGTATTGAGAAAAGAGAGAACTTTCAAGTTTACCTCTTATCAGTTTCTATCTTAATTCTGATCCTCTGAACAAAAACAAAGCTGCTTTTTACGTTGAAGAGTCAACCCAACTTGATCCTCTCTCCTTCTTGATTCTTTTACTCTCCATGTTCATTCTCACTTGAGAAGCTTCGTCCCATAGTCCCATATCCGCGTACATGTTGTACAACAGTACATAAGGTGTTGAGCTCTCTGGTTCGAGTCTCGACATTGCTTCAGCTGCGACATGTGCGAGCCCTACATTGTTATAAATCCTACAAGCATCTAATAGTGCACCCCACACCGTCTTGTCTGGCTCAAAAGGCATACTCTTTATGACATACATGGCCTCCTCAAACTGCCCTTGTCCACTGATTACATTCACCAGTGAGGAATAATGTTCCATCTGCGGCTCAATCTTGTACACACTCATCATGGACACAAACTGTGCTTTAGCCTCATCAACAAGTCCCGCGTGAGCACAAGCGTTCAGAACTGAGACGAATGTTATGTGAGAAGGATGTATCCCGTTGCTTTTCATTGACCAGAACAGATTCAAGGCCTCTGAGGCATTACCATGAAAGGCATATCCTCCTATCATTGCATTCCATGTGATTACTTCTCTTTTGAGTTTCATTTCATCGAAGATTCTCCTCGACTCCATTATTTCACCGCATCTTGAATACATAGTGATAAGGGCATTGTGGACTGGAACATCAGGGATCACAGTCTTGACAACGATTTGATGCATCTGCATTCCTAAACGCAGATTCACAAGCCCGGTAGATACACTGAGAAGAGAAGTTAAAGTATGCGGGTCAGGCTTCTCTCCATCAATGTTCATCCGCATAAACACATCAACAGCTTCTTTGTAGTCCTTGTTTTTGTCATAAGCTGCTATAATCGAGTTCCACGAGACTATATTTTTCTCAGGTGTTCTTTCAAAGTAGTGTCGAGCAAGCTCTAGATTGCCAACACTAGCATAACCCGAGACCATCATGTTCCATGAGTGTGCATCACGGTTTGGCATTTCCGAAAACAGAGCAAAAGCATCTTCCATCCTAGAAACATGTACATATCCATCAATCATAGTGTTCCAAGAAATTGTATCGCGGTCTTTCATCTGATCAAATAGCAACCGCGCAGACACCACATCACCCACTTTCAGATAAGCTTTGATCATAGAATTCCATGACACGACATTTCTACGAAACCTCTCTCTAAACGCTCCCCCATGATCAACATCATCACAGAGATCAGGAATCTGATCAAACAGACATCGAGCTGCTTCTACCTGTCCTCTCTGTCCATATCCTACAATCAAAGTGTTATAAGCATAAACCAAATCTTCCCTTCCTGAATCTAAACACCCATACTGACCCAAAACCCAAGCAGCTTCTTCAAGTCTCTCGTTTTTAATAAGACCAGCCACAAGTGCACATAGAGAAGACGAATCCTTCACAGGCATTCTCCGAAACAACTCAAACGCGCGATTCACTTCACCGTTATGACAAAAACCAGTGATCATAGCACTCCATGACACAGCATTTCTCTCAGGCATTTTCTCAAATAACAACAAGGCTTCACTTATCCTCCGATTCTTAGCATAACCACTAATCATCGTGTTCCAAGAAAAAGAATCTCTTGAAGGCATTTCATCAAAAAGCTTCCTTGCTTCTTCAAGAAACCTAATCCCACCACATGAAACATAACCCGAAATCATCGCGTTCCAAGTCACAACATCTCTCTCAGGCATTTCGTCGAACAGTTTACGTGCTTGCGTCATTTCCCGCCTTTTCACATACCCGCTTATCATCGTATTCCATGTCACGGTGTTCCTCGCTTCCAATTTCTCGAAAATCTCTCTAGCTTCAGCGATATATCCCGATCTTATCATCTGGTTTAACTCTTTGTTCGTCGCTCGAAAACCCAAGCTTGACGAAACTGAAGTAGAGAAAGAGTTTGCATATAAACACTTTAGACAAGACGATCGATACAACACCTTCCTCAAAATCAACAAGACACCGCGTGATCGGATCATCGTCGTCTCCGGCGAAATTTGCAGCGTTCAAAACTTAAAAAAGCCTCTAGCTTTGAAATTAGAGTCAGGTTAATTTGGTTTAAGATCATGTAATGGAAATTCTTCGGTTTACCATGTTTGAACCGGAAATAATTCGGTTCAATTCAGATAGTCAAAATGTGTCTATGGTATTGGTAGATCAAACTAATAGCCTCCAACCTTTGGAATAGAGTCAGTCAGTTGAATTGGATATCACAGTCATGTAAACTTTGATTTTGCTGTGTTTAAACCGGGAATAATTCGGTTCAATTCAGCATTCCCGGTTTACAGTTAAGAGATAGTCAAATGTGTCTTAACTAGAGTAGAGAGAGTACAAAGAGAAATTTCTATAAATTGTATTACATTGTTTGTAGTTGGTTAATCTCCCAACTGAAATTTCTTGTGTAGCTAGTTGTGCAACCAATAGATACATTCTTTTGTGGGTAGATTATTAGCTTTGGTTTACAAATTTCGCATAATACGATGTTTATTTGTCTTTTGGACAAGTAGCAGACCAGAGGACATGATCACGTCTGAGTAATCTTTTGCTGTTTGCTGCTGTCAGTAACATCACACCAAGGAATATCAAAACTGAGATGGATGAGAAGATAAACATCAAGACCGAAGCGACATGGTCTTTCACCTCTTGTGCGTACTGAACCGAGTCTAAAGCGAGAAATGTGATAGGGAATGAGTAAGCCCACCACGCGACATTGAATCTTTTTATCGACTTCTTCAAAAGATTTGGCCTACAAACCTGAAAATGTTAAGAAAAAAGAAGGTAAAATGTCTATTCATACGGTTTTCTGTTTCTTGGTGTATCGTAAAGACGTTAACTTACTAGGGACATAAAGATGAAGAGTGAAAGGAAGAATAACATCTTGGCTATAATATCAAAGGTTCCACAAATAGAGTTCCAAGCTAGACTTGCAGTCGCTGGTGCAGCGAAAAACAAGAAGAAAACCGGTCTTAGCGTGGTTGGGAAATTGTTTCCGCCTGGTAAGCGTTGATAAAGTGTGACAAAGATAACCAAATAATGAACCATCCCAAGTGAGAACAAGCATAGAGCACACTCTTTCCAACCCATCTCTGCTGCTCCCCTTGCAGCCACTAGGTTTGCTATTACTGATACTTGGCTTGCCGGGTTTGCCATTATCGACAAAAACCGTTTCTCTGTTGTGAACCATTGGCCATAAAGCTTTGTGTCTAGGGTCAAAACTGGAACAGCAAAGATCCAGAATAGTGTCTGATACAAAATGCTATGTGGTTCAATCATCGGAGCTGATTGAAGCAATAGAAGGCATGAAATGGATGGAGCGTAAAGATAGTTCACTCCAATATAGTGCAAGAACTCTTCCTTCACCATGTCAAAGAGGAAAATACATTTTAAGGCATACAAAAAACAGAGTGATACTTGTGTTGCAAGTGCTAGGTACCACAGGAGATAATACGCCATAGATGGGAGTTCGCTATGCAAATGAACCATAATCTTCCACAACAATGCTTGGCTACATAGAGAAAGGCTTATTCTGAAATATCCCGCATGGAGACTACTCAAAATAGACATCAGGACAATGGGTTCCGCATCTGCGAGGATAGTCTTTCTCTCTTTGCGCCTCGATTTTGGGTTATCAATCATGATATGAATTTCTTGACTAGGAATTTCCATCTCGGTATATCGATGAAATAGAGCTTATTTTGCTCTATGTTATGCTAACCTAAAGAAACAGTTCATGTACATAAGCATTAGGCAGAGAAATCAAAGGCAATGGAAATTATTTAAAAGTACAAAACACAAGTTAGTGTTGGACATTCAGAAACTTTGGGCAAGTTCAATAACTTGTACAGTACATATATATCAACATCTTTTTCTTTTTTTCGACATCAACACTTTTTTTTTCTTTTGATGAAGCAACATTTCTTGTTCAAGCTTCATGAATAAACATCAAACCATTTCAATTGATTATTTTATAAAACAAATTAATTAAGGAAAGTGTGACAAAAAATAACGAAAAAAGATTTTGATATCCAAATATATTGCAACTTCCATACTTTTTAGTGTTATATATATCTTGCTTATAACTGCTAGCTATAATCATAATTTCTTTTAACTGATTTATAAGTATTAGTTCCCTATAATTCATACAAAATACAAAATGAAATCTAGGTTATATAATTTGAATAAACCTGGATATTCTGCCGCGGAACGATTTAAAATTGTTTGCCAAGGTTTTACAAGCAGGATTCTATTGGCCAACCACGTTCAAGGATGCTCATGGGACTTCAAAGTGTCGTTCTTCACCAGTGTTTGCACACAAATTGAAGTATACTAATGTCGCCGAGATTCCTGAACTGTCTTCGGATTCTGGGTTGTCGTCTTAGATCCCCATTTCATATACGTTGACCCTGTGCCCTTCCCAATAAGGGAGATAATAATGTTGCCTTCCGTAAAGATTCCTTCTATAAAGAATTTATGTGAACCCTAACATCCCTTTTTATTACGTCACGACGGCTATACAATTTTTTTTGTTACATACAATTGTATACTATATACAATTGTTATATTTAGAAAATCTTTATAACCTCCTGACCAACAATTTTAATGTCTCTATGCTGATTATATGTTGACAAAAAGATGAAAAAGAAATTATAACGCAAAGGCTGTCAAAAAAAAAAAAAAAAAATTATAACGCAAAGACATATGATTATATTTTTGATTTTAGTAAGAAGATTCCCAAAAGAAAGATATTTTCCTCAAAATATCCATTTGGTAAAATGGACGACGGTAAACAATCTATTTTTTTCAAACAAGTTGTAAACGAATATTTCAATTATCTATTTAAATTTGTATGTTTCAACTTTCAACAAATTCGTTTCTTTCTTATTGGTCTCCAACAAAACAAAACAATTCAAACTCTCTAACCACTTGGAAGTGTGCTACCAATCAAATCATAAGTCGCTCTCACTTGATTGGGACCTGCCAGGCCACAGAAAAAGCCGCGTAATAGTTATTGTTTGCGTTGAAAGGCTTTTTTAAGGCCCAATAATTGGGCTTTGTATTTTGAAGCTTTTTTTTTTTTGGGCAATATTTAAAAGAAATTTTTGGGTGAATTTATCACGCTCTTAAGAAATGTAAGCAATGAAATTTTTTCGATCACTGTGGCATTTGGTTTCGGTGAGACTTTTGACCTCACGTATTGTGAAATTGTCGAAAAAATGACTTAATTATAGGAACACCTAAACTGCAGTAACCGTTTTAAGTCGAAGAGAAAAAATGACTTAATAATGTCATTTTAAGTCGGGATCAGTTTTAGACGCAGTCATGATTAGTTTTAACAATATCCAAACAAGTGAACAACACAATATCTAAAATATCCTTCTTTTTTTTTCCTAATCAAAAGCAATCTTCATTTCGTTTTTTTTTTTTTTACTTCCAACGATGACAAATGATGCATTGGAAAAAATGGAGGGCGGTTAAGTGGTGGTGGCAAAAACGGATTGGTGTAACAAGCGTAGAAGATTTTGGAAAATAACATTACTTTTGTCTATAGTGGTTATGGCGATATCTCTGCTCGTATTTTGCATAAGAGGAAAACGCAACAATATGGAAGACTCAACTGCATATGCAATAACATTCTTTGGTAAGTATCTTATAATACAGTATGCAGTTTTCGGTGCAATGATCAAAGCGGATGAGATGTGGGGTTGGATGTCACCCTCCTCCAGTCATCCTCCCAAAGAGTTTAGTCCTGCCGAAAGAGCGGGTTTTGAGCAGGCATTTGTCGTGTTTATCTGCGTGATGACGCACGGGTTGGGAAAAGTTGTGGAGGTTTTCTTCTTTACCATGTCGTCCATCATTGGCCTTATTGCAATTGTCCAACTTTTTAGTCCGACGGCTGACCATAATTTTGAAATGGTCATGAACCATTTTTGGTTAACCGTTGGCTTAGGGATAGTAATGGGATTAATCTGTCTAGTCCCCAATCTATTCTTTTTCCTTGGTTGGTTCTCTATATTTATTTTGATATACGTTTTTATTGTCCGTTGTAATTTCCCTGACAAGACTCTTGTCGAAGTGCTTTCCATTGTATGCGAGGATTTAAATTTATCTTGACCAGACTTTTGGCAAAACTCAAAAGTGTTCTCTCCATTATACGAGGTTTTAGATTTGGGTATAGAGTTTTTGCTGTTACGGTTATGATTTAATTAAATCTGGGGTTTCAGAATCTTTCACAATAATCTATTTGACAATCTACCTATATCTTATTCTTTCAGAAAAATAAAAAAATCTACCTATATATTTTTGAGAGTTGTAATATATATCTTTAAGGATTTGAATTATGTTTATCGCAATAGACTGAACGGATTTGAAATTTTGAATTATCCACTCTAAACACTAAAACTTATACATTCAGTTTACGTAGCATCATATATATTGATAGGAACTAAGAGAATATTTCGTAAGATAATTAAGTGTATTCTCCTAATGTTGTTATTAAAACGCTTCCAATATTGTTACACAAAACCTTTTCTATTATAGAAATCAATGGCTTCCTCTGTTCTGGCTGTGAGCAATTCAACAAAGTGGATGGATCGATTAGAGAGTCACTTCAAAAAGTTTTTTTGTAGTCAGATTAATCAAAAAATAGAACTATTGAAGAAGCTATTACCAAAGTGAATTCCACAAGTGATTGCTGAGTTGGAGATGTCAAAGTTCATATATAATGAAATAAGTATCGTATATTCATGATGATTATGAAAAAGAAAAAAATGTAACACGTATGTTTCTATATTTCCCTCAATTTGGCGATGAAAACATGCAGACAATGAGACAAGACGGTGGATTTAGCTGTTCTAGGAGAAGTACAAATGCGGATCATGCGGATGAAGCGTATCAATCACATATAATCACATTTAAAACATAGAATATGATTCTTTCATTTTTTGGAAAATAATGATATCAATTTCAATGATCTGATACAATCATATTTAAAACGTACAAATATGCTTTCCTGTCTCTAGAAATGAAATATCAATTTCAATCTAATACAATCATACGTTACACGTAAAACGTAAAATATGATTCTTTCCTTTTAGAAATGAAATAATATCAATCTCAATCTGATGCAATCATATTTAAAACATAAAATATGATTCTTTCTTGTTTTACTGTAAAAAAAAATATCAATCTCAATTTAATAAAATCTGCAAACTATAAATATTTGTCCCTGAATTCACATAGGAAAATGGAGAGAGTACTTGTAGCGCAAGTCTTATCCAGTGCATTGGCTCTGCATAAGCAATCTAACAGCTTTCTTCTTCGTTTCACTCGAGCCTCTTTGCCCCTCGAGTCTACTCAAAAACTACTTCACTGACTAGCAACATGGAGATTTGTTCGTTGTCTTTTTTTTTGGTTCCTAATGAGTAATGATTTGCCATCTTCATCATCAGAGTTGTTTCCTAACATAATTGGCTATTTTGCATTATACGTAGGCCTGGGATTTCGGTTAACCGTTCAGTTATCGGTTGGGTCCATTCGGTTTCGGTTCTTTCGGTTTTAAAATTTAGTATCCATTCGGATATTTTCAAATTTCGGTTCGGTTTCGGTTCGGTTCCGGTTCTTTCGGTTTTAAAATTTAGTATCCATTCGGTTATTTTGCTTAGGGTATTTTCGGATATTTCGGTTATTTTTGAGTATTTTCGGATATTTTTGGATATATTTCGGTTATTTTCGAATATTTTTATATATTTTCCAAGTATTTTTGATTATTTGGTCTACAAATAACTAATTATTTTGAAAATATAATTGTATTTCGGGTATTTCGGTTATCCGAAATATTTTGGTTCGGTACCGATTCGGTTACGGTTATTTCGGTTATAAAATTTAGTATCCATTCGGTTATTTTCAAATTTTCGGTTCGGTTCGGTTATTTTTGCTTCGGTTTCGGTTCGGTACATTCGGTTCGGTTTATTAGCCCAGGCCTAATTATACCCTTGGGGTTGCGAATCTTTTTGCACCCTTATCAGTACGTTGTTGGGCGGTCAAACCAGCGAATTGTTTTTCAGAATCTTGGCATTTGCAGCCTCTGCATTCTATTAGAATGTAGTTGATGCGAATGCCGAGTTTCTGAAAAATGTGCAGCTTTGACAGCCGATTTGGCCCCAAGGCCCCCAACTACGTTACGTACTAATTAATATGGGTGTAAAATTGAGTGAATTTGTTGAGAATGTTTGCAAACAATAACAAAATAGCCTACAATATTTTGGGGAAACAACTCTGGAGAAGAAGATTGTAAATCTAGGAAACAACTGTTCCAAACCAAAGAAGATTAGTTTGTTAGTTGAGAAATACAAAATCTAAGAGACCATGAAGGAAAATTAGAGAAAACAAATAGAAGTGTGTTCTTGTTTAATTTCTGCAAATTTGTAACAGAGTTCTTGTTTCTATCTCAAGTGTGGACTAGCTTTGGTTAGTTGCATTGAGCGACAATGTTTTTTGTTTGTCTTTTGGATCGGTAGCAGAACCGAGGGCGTGATCATGTCTGAGTAGTCTGTTGCTGTTTGCTGCTGTCAGTATCATCATACCAAGGAAGATTAAAACTGAGATGGATGAGAAGATAAGCATAAAGCCAGAACCGACGGGGTCTTTCACCTCTTGCGCATACTGAACTGAGTCTAACGCAAGAAAAGTGAGGGGGAACGAATAAGCCCACCATGCAACATTGAATCTTTTCATTGATTTCTTAAAAAGATTTGGCCTACAGACCTGAAAATGTTAACATAAAGAAGGTCAATGTCTTGTCATACGATTTAATGTTTGAATCTTTTCATTGATTTCTTAAAAAGATTTGGCCTAAAAACCTGAAAATGTTAACGTAAAGAAGGTTAATGTCTTGTCAATTGTCATACAATTTAATGTTTGAATCTTGTTTCTTAGTGTGTTGATGTCGATGGCTTACCAGGGACATGAAGATGAAAAGTGAAAGGAAGAACAACATCTTCGCTACGGCATCAAAGGTTCCACAAATAGAGTTCCAGGCTAGGCTTGCCATGGCTGGTGCAGCAAAGAACAAGAAGAAAATTGGCCTTAACTTGGTTGGGAAGTTGTTTCCTCCTGGTAAGCGTTGATAGAGTGTGACAAAGATAACCAAATAGTGAACCATTCCGAGGGAGAACATGCATAGAGCACACTCATTCCAACCCATCTCTGCTGCTCCTCGTGCAGCCACCAGGTTTGCGATTACGGATACTTGGCTTGCGGGATTTGCAAGCATCGACAAGAACCTTTTTTCTGTTGTGAACCACTGGCCATAAAGCTTTGTGTCTAGTGTCAAGACTGGAACAGCAAAGATCCAGAATAGTGTCTGGTACAAAACGCTATTTGGTTCCATCATCGGAGCTGATTGAAGCAAGAGAAGCCATGAAATGGATGGAGCGTAAAGATAGTTCACTCCAATATAGTGCAAGAACTCTTCCTTCACCATGTCAAATAAGAAAATACACTTTAAGGCATACAAAAAACAGAGTGACACTTGTGTTACAAGTGCTAAGTACCACAAGAGATGGAACGCCATAGATGGGAGTTTGCTATGCAAATGAGACATGCTGGGTGAATCAGGCGCGATCATTATCTTCCATAGCAGAGCTTGGCTGCACAGAGAGAGGCTAATTCTGAAATAGCCCGCGTGGAGACTACGCAAAACGGACATCAAGACAACGGGTTTAGCATCAGCGAGGTCAGTTTTTAACTCTTTGCTACTAGATATTGGGTTATCAATTTTGATATGAATTTCTTGCCTAGGAATTTCCATCTCGGTTTATCGATTAAAAAGAGGTATTGGCTTGTTTGGCTCTATGTTTTCCTAACCTTAGGATAGAGTAGTATATATAAGCAGAGAAATAAAAGCTAATGGAGATTAATTAGTACAAAACACGTGATTTAGGGGGAGTTAGTTAGTGTTGGACAAAGATGATACCTAAAACCAAAAGTGGTAATGGAATCTTATAAGGATAGCTTTTTTAGTAACTTTTGGTAAGTTCAATAACTTGTACAGTACGTCTCAACATATCTTGTATTTAAGCTAGATACACACACATAAAGTCATTCCAATTGATTACTTTACGAATTAATCTTATATCTATTGCCTGCTTTACCTAACTAGTACATTATAATTAAACAGGATTATTAGGTTTTCTTATCATAAGATGTTACCACTATATATCTCTGATGGCATCGACCCACTAAATTCTCAAATTCTTATTTCTATAAGAAAAATTCAACAATTAGATAAACAATCACATTGTCGAAATAAGATAATCCAGTGGGTCAGACGTATTCACCACCTATTCATCGAGGTCAAAAGCCAGTGCCTTAGCTCGAGGATTAAGCTCACATGTTTTGTGAGCCAATGTAGCATAAAAGTGGCCATAAAAAGTAGTATGGTTTTGGTTACTTTTGAATTTGGAAGTGCCTGATCACCTTTTTAGTTTCTGTTTATAAGAAATGTTTGATATCATCAAAAATGTGTGTTATAATTTGAATGAGATTTGAGTAGACGTACGCTTCTATTAGTTGTTTTGGTTTAGTACACCAATGTTACACAAAAGAAAAGATTATGTTATATATGTTTTTTTTTCTAGATCGGTGATTTGTACAATAATAAAGAATAAATGGTTCGATTAAGTGAGTCATGGTGCATATTTGCTAAAGTCCCACGTAATTGTTGATTAAATTTATAGCAATGAATAAATGGTCGCAGAGGTTTGAATAAATGCAAAAGCTTTTAAAGCCAATATATCATAAGTAGGATTAATGGATATGAATTCTTAACCATTGAAACCTTTCGTTGGAATCACATCACACTATTTAAAAAGTGTGTTTTTTTATTGATCTAGAGTTAAAGAAAACATATCCAAAGCTTCAACGTATGTTTATGGCAAAACATTGTTAACAACAAAAACGAGGCTTCACTCTTGAAACCTTTCCATATAAACACAACACAACAAAGCTCTCACACCAAAAACACATCAACAAAAGACCGAACCGATGTTACATTTTTCACACAGCTTCTGCGAACCCAACCCGCTCGTTTCCGAAGTCAAAGACAGTGTGGTATTTGCCCATAAACACATCTCCAAGTATCCTGCCCAAAGTAAAAAAAAAATCAATGATTAGACAAAATCTAACATTGGAAAAAAAATGCAATAATCATTAATTCATTATGGATTTCGTGTCGATATATTTACCAGAGAGGTCCACGAGGTGGAGGGACGTCAAGTGCGGTAAAGCCGCTAATGCATTGTGCCACTGGTCCTTCCCCAATCTTCAGTACGTACTGTTAGTTCCCACAAACATTAGCAGTCACAAAAATATACGTGTTCAAAATGTTACAAAAGGTTCAAAATTAAATGTTGCCATTACCTCTTCTGGAGCAAGATCAAAGACTTTGCCTCCAATGGTGAATGAAACAGTAGGCATTTTAGAGAGTTGTGAGCAATCAACTGCAGACTCTCCATTTGGACTAGGCACGCGCTCGCATATCTAAGGATTTACGATTTTGGGGTCAGAATGAAAACAATATCATTGCTTAATTCCACAAGACATTAAAGTGTTGTTGTCTTGCTACCTCATTAATGTAGTTCACTATCCGCTCTTGAGTCATGTTCTGCCTCAATTGGCTCTGTATCCACACAACTGCCATTTCACATGCAGGACAACCCGCATCTCGAAGACCACTAGATGATCTCGTGTTTTCCTTGTCCACCACCGACTCAATCCCCATACTTAACATGATACAATAGCACTCAATGAGAGAATATCAGTATGCCTAATTGTTATATATGTTCATAGAAAATCACTGGAAAGTTACCTGACCCCGTGGGTGCCATCGAAAGCGCAAAGACCAATTTGTGAGCAGATCTTCTTTGGTTGAGTCTGGAAGAAGCAAAAGAGTTGCATATACAGAAATTAAAGAAAAACAGATATGATTCATAGCGTTCTGTATCATATTAGCAAAATTCTTACCTCAGCCAAAAGTAAATCCAAAATGGTTTGTCCATACTGATCAACAACAGTCTTGCACTGCTGGCTAATAACTCCAGAGGCTCCAATAGCTTTGTTTATCATGGCAATCACAGCCTAAAAGAAATAACAAGGAAAATGTTAACTTCAAGATTAAACATATACTCAAACAAACTGAAATGCTATAAACTCGTGCAATTTGCTTACCGTCGGCCCTGCAAGTAAAGATGTTCCAGAATCTGTTATCGCGGAACAACCACTTCCACAGTATCCTGTACAAGCGTGAATCAAGTTTTGAGATGTGAGTTCTAAGAAAAATAAAAAAATACACATGATGAAAGAAAAGGATATGACAGTGAGTGCACGTACCAGTAGATTCACCGCCAATGAGAACCTCACCCATGTCGAACTACAACCAAAATAATAGCTTAAATGAGACGTAAATTACAAGACATTCATAGCAAACCAAGAAAAATAAATAAAGATCAAACCTGCCAGTAACCCCTTTGTGTCACAGGAACATATGTATGTTCTCCTATGAAATGCTTTGGATCAACACCTCCAAATACGATTTCACCGCCTTCTTCACTCTTTGGATCACGGTTAAGCCAAAATGAAAACACCGGCCTCTCGATAAGGCCTTGCTTGAGCATATTGTACCTGTCAAAACCAAACATTACAGGATTGTGTGTAAGTAAGCAACCTCAGTCCAAAAAGGAGACAAAATGCCCCATGGAAAAATATGTTTCGGATCCGCCACTGCACATACCAAACAGGAGTAGCGTTTCCAACAGCGATCTCTTGGAATCCAAGACCAAGAAGACCATCAAACTTAGCCACCAGGAATGTTAAACCAGGCTCACTGGTTGCTTCAATAAACTCCTGAAGAGATTGGGAATATACAGAGAGTAAAGTCAATGATATAAGCATCAAAAGTAGTGTAACATCAATAGATAAGGAAAATTTTACCTGATCTTTGACAACCAAATCACCAACCGTGACAGCATCATAACTAAAGAAACCAGAGATCGATCCTGAGCCGTAATGGATTGCGGCACGTTTTCCTACAATTTTATAGCTTCTATTAAAAGTGATATCTCATCTTCATACAAAGATCGCCTTAAACTACTTTTAATGTACAAGAATCAAAAGAGATAGCGTGCGTACCACTCTTCTTATATGTACTTGATCGCGAGGACTTGAACTTGGCATGAAAGAAACAAGACAGCTAGATAACAACGGAAAGAAAACAATAAGTTTTCTCTCTTAAACTAAAAATCTAACAATTATATAGAAAACGGTGTAAATATTACCGAGAAAAAACATTTTCCTGATGGTACCCAAAGGTTAGAGCTTCCGGTATCAAAAATGACAGTAAACTTCTGCGGTGGAGTACCGATAGCAATCTCACCATAATACTGAGCATCCAAGTAATTCTTGAGCGGGACAATGTCAGCATCTCCAGAATCACTACCAAGATTGTTGTTGTACGAAGGCAAAGAGGATCTCAAGGCCTCTTCTTGCTTGGAACCAAAGCGTGTTGCAAGTCGGTTGTTAGGATCCAACTTTAGTTTTTTCAAGCCAACTCTGAATGTTCCATCATTTCTCTGAGAAGAGACAGTGAAAAACAGTATGAACGACACAAAGAGCGAAACCGCAACCGTTCTTGTGTATACTCCCATTTTTTCACCTACAAAATTAAAGCATTCATCAACAAACTGAAACAAATAGGAGTTACAAGAACATGCAAGTCAACTAAGAACACTCTTTATACTAAAAGCTAATTAACAGACTAAATGTGGAGCTTAAAAAATACTGTTAGAGTTTGCAAAACAAAAGAGCTTTTGACAATGATAATTGTTAGATAAAAATTAATCTCTTGAAAACATTTCAGAAATAGTGAAATTACACATTCAATAAATTGTTAAAGCAAATAATCTGACGACAACAAGATCCAGGACCATGAATTTTCAGTTTATAACGATTAATAATACGAATGTGTGACAAATCGAAACAGAGTATTAAAACATGCTCACTTTCCTGAGAAAATTGCACTATGATTACAAAATCAAACATGCTCATTTTCTAAACAAATCAGAACAAATATCTCATCATGAATCACAGTTGGAAAACATGAAAACAAACAGTAAGATTTGCTGAATCAAACCAACACTAAAACATCAGATTTGAACATTTTGAAGACAAAAACCAGACATGCAAAAACACATACAAATTCACGAACACATAATCTAATAGAATCCAAATACAGATCATGCAAAATACAATCTTAAAACATCAGAAAACGAAATTAACCAAAAAAAATTGGAAACACCAGTTGGATTTATCAAAAAGAAAAAAACCTGTAGTTATCAAGAATCAAAGAGCTCGGAATATCTTAGGGGGAAGAAAACGAAGAAATAGCAATGAGATCGATAATAGTAGAAGAAGTGATACTTAGAAGTTAGAACTGACGAGAGTGTTTAAACACCAGATTCTGAGAAAGACCACAACGGTTTCATTATCGAGGAAATATTATGCAGCCACGACATTAAAGTGGGTCCTACCTAAGTTTCGTTTTGATCTAAGCCGTTGAAATTTAATTGGCTAAAGGTTTTTGACCGTTGACGTTGTGATAAGATATGACCCACCAACTTTTGTTGGTAACTTGCTACACTCGAGCTTATAATTTACTTGCTCTTTCTGATTTTAATAAAATGATTACTAGTTTTTAAGTTGTTATTGGTTTTTGTTTACGGAAAATTTTATTTTTTCATCATTCAAGATTTTAAAAAAATAGATTCTCTAAAATTTAGAAAAACTAGTTTTTGAGTGGTTTCTCCAAGTTTCAAAGAGAAACTAAAAACCATGATTTTGAGGTTTTTGTGGAAAACTTTATTTTTCAACGTGATTATGTTTCATTTTTGATTTTTTTTATTTTTTTAATTAATTTTTCTATTTATAGCAAAAATCCAAAAACCAAAATTTTTAAAACCAAAACCAAAATCTAAAAACCAAAAACAACTTAAAAACTAGTAAATATTCAGGGCCTAAATGTTTAGTTAGACAATTTTAGAATTTTTAAATTGATTTTTCTTGTGTTGATAAGTTTCTAGATTATCAATTTTGTGAGAAAAAAAAACATGGTTGAAGAAAGATAACAAAAAAAATCATGTTTAGAGAGTTTTTAAGCATGTTTATGACATTACTTTTACCAAAAAAAAAAAAAAAAAAAAATTTGACATTACCAAATTACATGTAAATATGTAATCTAATCAATTGAGAGTTTCTCAGTATTTATCATAAAACTCAAAAGACTCAAAATCTAATCTAATCTTTTTTTTATATATATATATAGTTTCTCTTTTCATGGGCCTTAAAAGCTCATTCTATACTTGTAATGAGAAATGCTAGTTGTCTTTTATATTTGGACTAGGCTTTCAAAATTGAGGCATGTTCTCTGTTCCAGTTTTGGCAAAATACTCTTTCTAATAAATAATATGGCTCTTGAATTATAAACATTTGCCACAAACCTGAAATAACATCAAAATTAATGCATCAATATAACAATCATATAAACTTCATATATCATACAATTTATAAACAATACCCATATTTAACCAGATCATATCAAATGTCGACATGAGTCTCAGGTATATGATTCACATTGTTGCGCAATAATGCTCTGAAAATAAGGATTTGAGCAATTACTCATACATAAATGAGAACCTGAGCAATTACAAACAAAGACAACCAGCAAATGGGAATTTTGACGTGATATAAGTTGAGCTCAAAAATGAAAAAAAAAAACGAAAGCAGTACCTATTCTTAGTGTTTTAGATGGTGCTTCATTTAAAATATTTTTCTAATTGTTTTTCTTCTTTGCAGTGTAAAGAGATGATTTTGTATACTTTCATCGACTCGTACTTATAATTAAATCATTTTTGAACCGTTCCCACAAGTTTTTAAGACATCAAAATTTAACCAGTTTAGGTTCTTTGTGATTGTTTAAACATTGATTATTTATTGAGAAGATGAGAAGCATTTTTTGAACCAAAAAAAAAAAAACATTGCTTATTTTGTTTGAGAAGATGAGAGAAGTCTCGAAGGCTAAAGAAGAGAGCCAAAAAGAACCATGAAGTAATTTCTTGATCTCTTCCTTTCTTATGTGCAATTTGGATGTAAAAGAAAATGTGATCCACGGGAATCCATGATCATATCATGTGAGACCAATATTTGTATCCTATTCCCAAGCTCCTTTTTTTTAGCTTATTTGTTTCTCATATAATACCTTTTTTTATCTTTATATTAGTGGTGGTATTTCCAAGTGTGTTCGATTCTGTCCAGATGAACATGAGATCGTCCGAAAATTTCTACTTCCAAAGATATATCTAGAAGAAATTCATACCAGGATACCTCATTCATAAGGTTAACCTTCTCACAATCATATCCCAACGTTGGAAAGAATCTCTATACCCTTACTTTATAAAAATGAGCTTTGGTTCTCTTTAACCATAAAAGGGACTATCATGTAGTTGTGTCTTTAGTATTCAGTCCAACCTAAATACACAAAGAAATTACGATGATGCAAATGAGTTAATCACAAAGCCATACTATGAACCAATAACCATCATTACAAAATGGAAGTCATAATATTATACAATTTTTTTTCCATAAATTATTCGATAACAGATTTATCATTCATGTAGTTCAACTAAACCTAATTGTTTCATGAAAGTTTAGACCAACGTTTATGGATCCAATTTTAGTCTACCTCGAACTTTTTCTTGTAAAATTCTGCATTTGATATCCAAATTTTTGATTAATTTCGAGAGTGATTAGATCTTTAATTAAATAGTTTTTTTGCAAACCTACAACGATAAGCATCAAAACGAAAATCCAAGTGATTAAGCGGCCACACGTAACCATAATGAATAAAACGACTGCTATTAATCAACGTGCCAACTAATAAATTTGTATTACCATTTACCAATAGACTTATACTCTTTTACCAACCATATTGTAACAACCAATTAAACGTCTTGATTTAGGAAGAGTCCTAAAGAAGGACGAATGGGTTAAAACAAGTATGACCACATGCAGACATGTGACTCAACGACTCCCTTTTCATAAGTCGTAGAGAAGTCTCTCTTCTCGACCTCACGTAAACCATATGAATATCTTATGACTTCCAAAATGAAAATGGTAGATAATAAACGGCGGCTTTATAAATCCATGACTTTGCATTTTCTTTATGTCATCTAATTTATATTTTATATACTTAACATTTGACGAGCAGTTTACACATATTACTTTTTAAGTTTTTTTTCTAAGAAACACGGAGTAATTAACAGCTACTCGATTTTTTTATGGCGGTTTTTGAAAAATACCATTTTTATGATTCCATTTTTCACATATTCTACTAAAGAAAAAATTATTCAAAAAATACCATTTTATAATCCGTATTCTAAAATTTTGTAAAATCCTTTAAAACCTTATAAATATTGTATAACATTCGTTATAAGATCTTTAAAAAATTACGAATATTATTCGTTGGTCAACTGTTAATATAAATATTTTTTAAATCATTAATTAAAAAATTATAAATATATAATTGTAGTAGTATTTTTTAAATGGACAAAAACTAATTCAGTAAAATTTTATAAACTCATATTTTTCTAAAATATGAACAATGAAAACAAAAATCTCTATAAATTTATAAATATATTAATATCACTATAAATTAATAAAATATTAAGATTGTGACATTTTCAATTTATATAAGTACAATTATAATTTATTTTTGTAAAATGAAAAAAATGAAAACGTCAATTATTTTAATGTGGATGTACTCAATATAGGTTAGGATGCCAATTATTTAAATTTTTTGTTTTTGGGTTCATGATATGCTAATTCAACTTTGTTTTTTTTTGTCAACAACTTAAATTAATATTGCTAATTCAACTTCGTTTCGAATTAGAGTTCTGTGAGCTTTTTATTGGATAAAAACATAAAATCTTATAAGGTTTATCTCCTGGAGACAAAAAAAAAAAAAAAAAAAATCAATTACTACAAGATTAAAATTGGAACTTTCAAAACAAAATAATGAGAGTAGGAGAGGCATCTCGGATCGGAAGCAGATTAAAAAAAGTGTAATATACTTGGTTTTTAGTGCAATTTAAAATTACGCATACTCGTATTTATTTAAACAACAAAAAAAAGCATTATTGGCAAATCATGACCCCACGTCAACTAGAGTTGCACGGAAAGTCAACAACGTACTTTTGCGTATCGCTTCCTTCCAAAGCTTAAGATATTATTCCATCATTTACAATATTATTACTCCACAGATTTTAATTACTTATCAAATTTTTAATTAATTTTTAACAAAACTATATCGACTAGAATTATTAACTTTTCTCACTCCTTCGTATTTCAATAATCTTGGATTCGCGTTCGGCTTTTCTTTTCTATTTACTTCATAGAAATGGAGAAATTGACTACCTAAACTTTTCTTTATATTGTTGCCTAAATTTTTGGTCACCTATTTCAGTTTATTTATTTTCACATTTTTATGTCATTCAACTCGTAGTTTCTAGGAAGTTGTCTCTCGTTGTTAACAAATATTAAAGTGTACAGATTTTTAGGTGACTTAATAAGACAGCAATTACGTGTCAAATTGTTATGGCAGCATTTATTGACCTTTGCAATTGTTATATACATATATGGATAATAAAGGTGTTATTAAATGTTCAATAATTAAGTGTCATTATGTAGGACACTTATTTGATGATATCTCATTATCTTATTGAAGGTACGGCCAAACTATTAGGTTTCTGTATCGGCGCTCACATGTGATGTATTACACTCAAAAGAAATGTCAATATTAAAGCTTTATAGGCAATGCTAACTAAGTTACGTAACAAAAACAAAAAATTTATGAAATTAAATTATATATTTTTCTTTTGTATATTTACTGGAATTTTGGTACGAAACAGAACAAATGTGAATCAATGAAATAAACTCTCTGTTTCCTATAACCCAGTTGGAAAAAAAATGTAGATGCCAAAAAAAAAAATTGTAATATTTTTCTATTGACTTTTGTTGTTTCCTTGGCCGTCGTGGTGGTTCGAACCATTGATCATAGAAGAAATAACGGCTGCAAGAGCCGCCGTGAAATTCGGGTCAGCTGTGAGTGCCGTTATTGTATCAGCCACCGCGTGTGACTGAGAAAACGCTGCCGTCGAGGGAGAGCCACCGGAGAACTGCAGCCCTGAGAACTTGGATTGGTTATACAATGCTTGACCTATTACATGAGGTAGCATACCCGGTGGTAAATTCGTCATTTGCTGTTGCGGCCGTTGCATCAATGAGTTGTGGTTGTTGTTGCTAGTGGCGGCTGCGGAAGAGGAAGGGTTGGAACCATTAGGAGGCGGTGGTGAGTGGGTGAGGTCTAATGTGACGGTGGGAAACGGCGCGGAGGCTGAGATTGTGGCCATGCTTGTGGAGCAAGGAAGAACAGCCCTAGCTAGTAAATTTGTAGGGTTCATCATCCCATCGTGACTAGACATTGATCCGGATAGCAACATGTTAGCCGCAGCCGTGGTGGTAGAAGCCATGGCTACTGCGGCTGGAGGCAACGGATGGTTATGGTTTCCCTCGTAGGTCGTTATCAGAATTGATCTGTCTTCCGCACAACGTTGAACCTATATTTCGGACCAAACGTATTAGCCAATCACTTAAACGTATATACATTAAAATCTCTAATGTTTTAAATCAAGAATCTTTAGTCCAGTGGTTAAATCTTTTGAATCGTACTTGTTTGCGAACGGGACAACCCGTGGCCATCGTGCAGCGGTAATATGCCCGCGGACAAGGATTCCCTTTAGCCATCTTCTGGCCATACTTTCTCCATTGACATCCATCGCTTATCTATTGAAACATAAAGTACAAACATAATTAATCTCTATAAGCATACTATTTTTGATGTAGTCCAATAAAAATCTTCTATAAGTAAATCAACTTACCATGGGAGCTTCCGATCGGGCACGAACCGAGACACGGGCTTTCCTCATCGTAGCTTCAGCGGATTGATCAAATGTCGTCGGGGTAGTAGAATTCACCTTCTGTATTTTGTTGGACTCGGTTTCGGGACTTTCTTCACGCCCAAGTCTCTTCCCGTGCCTTACCTCGTTACTACGCCTCTCGGCTGCAGAAGAACCGCCCGAACGAGTTCTATCTTCGGATGAAGAATTCGATACATCCTCGGCCTCGCCCACTGCTCTCGTAGGGCCTAAATCAATAAATTGCCTCGGTACTATCGTCTCCTCAGGTTTCTCAGCAGCCTCTATTACCTAATCATATAGGTTCACCAAACTTAATTGCCTATTCATGTAGGGTAAATTCCATTTACTTGTGGTTAATCAATCAAATAATTATTTACCTTATTATTCTGTTGTTGTTGTTGTTGCTGCATTAGTGAAACAAGATGCATCTGAAGTGAAGTGTAACTGTTGCTCACTTGTGTAAGCAATTCTCTTAGCTTTTGATTATCCATTGTCATTTTCTTCAACTCATCTTGTAACTTCACTAACTGTGATACAAATAAATCAAAATATTAATCAAACCGGTTCAATTATTCATCTATTAATTACTACACAATGTAAAATTAAACTAAAATTACCTCATTTTTCGCACGTTTATCTTCCATTTCAGAAGATTCTCCATCGTCGATCATTGACTCATCACTCTTTGTATTACCCGTTGTTCGAAGATTCAAACCGGTCTTTAACAAATTAAAATTCAAAAAATATAAAATAATTAGATATCAAACAAACAAATTTGATATTTCTATATGATTTTCAAATTTGAACCAAATTATTACACGACCAGACCAATACATATCATTAGTAAAAAATTTATATTTCATATGATTTATCGAAAAGTCGTACTTACATTTACATCCGTTCGATCATCTTGTTCTTCCTTCTTAACACGAAATCCGTCTTCGTCTTCACGACAAACCCTAGATTTCTTGTCGGAGAAGAAATCCACCTCGCCGGGAACTTCACGGTCATTATTATCTCCGGCGACGCCAGATGAAAAATCATCATCTTCACGATCACGAATACCGGAGAGACTCACCGGAAACCTAAATTCACTACCGTTGGTTGATATTTTCGTCTTCTGATCATCATCTTCGTCAATTCTAGACATCGTCAAAGGATTTGAGAAACGTCGGTGATTATTATGAGTAATACGATTAGGGTTTAAAAGATCGAGAGAAGATGAATCAAGAGTGAGACCAGACCATCCTCTGTCCATATATAGAAGAAGAAGAAGATCACGAGATTAACGAAAGGAGATTAAAGATTTTTAGAGAGAGATCAGAAAATGATATTATTGTTTTTGGGTTTGGTTTAAAGAGAGAGAGATTTAGAAAGAGTCTGTGAAGTCTTCTGCCAGAACATAAGACTCTCCTATAAAAAGGGTTTGGGACGTGGACCGATTTATTTTTTTCTTTCGTCATATTTATTTTTTTTCTTTTTAAGTTCATGAACTTTGATTTTATTTTCCGGAGACTTTTAAAAAAAAAATTCTTAGGAGTTTTACGTCAGATCCTGCGTCATTGCCTGGTTACGACCCGACCCATAATACACCAGGATTCTAAGCCCGTTTCATTTTCATGGAAATTGACAAAAAAAAAAAAAAAAAAAACTTCATTTTGCTATATTTTGGGTTGACGAAAAGGAAAAAAAAACAATTTTTTTTGGGACTACATATATGTATTGTTAACAATTTAAAACATACAATAGGACAACTATTTCAAAACAAATAGAGAGTACACCATTTCGAATTTATGATTTAGTTTTTTAGGGTTTATAATTTTTTTATTACAGTGTTTAGTTTTCATAAATTTTTATACTATATTAGTATCTATTAATTTTAGCATATATTGCATATTTTCTTACAAATCTCTTTTATTTTTTTACGTCAAACTTCTACATTATTTCTCTTGCCAACAACTTATATATACAATAATTAAAGACTACTAGTAAACAACTTTTAATTTTTAAATAAAATTAAATATAAACATCCCATTATTTAATATGTTTTATATTTAAAATGGCTAAAGTTTATTTCAAAACATTTTGCTTTTTTAAATTATATATAAGTTATTAATATTTTCTGTTATTATATATATATATATATACATATATAATGCTTAAACCAAAGTTTTTTGCCAAAAAAAAAAATGAAATTGTTTGATTCAGATTGATGCAGCGAGATATACAAGATTGTATCATGAAACGAGTGAAAACATAAAAATAGGTTTTTATAAGTTAACTCACTATAAATAGCTTATAACTAGTTTAACTACTACAACTATGTTATAAAACAAAACAAAAAATCGTTTTGAACAAAAAAAAATCGTAAATTGATCGTAAACTATTCCACTGTAAAACGGATTAAATATAGCGGATTGCTCATTTGACACTTCTAACATGATGATCCAATCAATCGGTTACTTTAATTAAATTTTGATGTCGAAATCACGAGAAAATGGTTATGTGGCGTAATCGTCTTGAGACTATTAAATTGATGTGAAGAAAGAGCATTGACTAGTTCTCTTCTGTTTGATCAAACGGACGAAAAGTTTGATCCACCGCTCCGTTTACTGCGGCGCGTTCCACGTGATTATACCTTTTTCTTTTTCATTTTTTCCAAGTTATTTATTATTAAATTATTTTAACAAAATACAAAAACAGTTGGAAAAAAAGAACTGAGTCAACGATTTTGACGGCCCGGCTTCTTATAGTCTGACTGGTGACCGGTTGAGCTGGTCGTTAGGTCTTACTACCGTGGGCGGCCGGGCCCCACTCATGTAATAATTTATTTTTTGACCCATTTTTCTTTGATATATATTACTAATAAAGATTAGCACCTAGTTTCTTGTTTTTTGAAGTAGACCTCGTTCTCTAAATACAAAAGTCGAATTTATTATTTGGACAAAGTCGATTATATTTAGTTGCTTGTCACCGACTTAATTTTTGTTAATCATGGTTACCACATGCGATTTGAAAAATTCATGTACTTCGTTGAAAAAAAAATCATGAAGTACAGAAATATTTATAAATATTTTTTTTTATATAAATTACAAGAACCTAGTTATAGTACAATACATGTTTAGGTTTAGGATAATAAATAGAAGAATGGTAAAGTTTTATTTTGGTTTTATTATATTAAAAATGATAATATATTGACTTTTTCTATCACCTATAATCACGATAAACGGTTTATCAAAGTATTCCATAATGTAAGTACATCTTTCACAACACATTACATATATATCTATAATTAACGATGTACGAAGTTTTTTTTTCTAAATTATATTATATTAATACTAATATTAAAATTAAAAGAATAAATCAGAAGCACTATATTGAAACACGATCACAAAAAGAGAAAAATCAACCAACAACATCATCAAAAAATTGAGTTTTAAACGAATCGGATTAAACAGCCACATGACCAGTGTTTGCGATGTACTAACTACTAAGTTCACGTTGGACAAATTAACACACACAATTATAACGAACGATTGTATCTTATAAATTTGTATTTTTAGCCTATGAAAATTTACAATTTTGAATGTTTGATCATTCATCGATCAAAATATGCAAAGAAATAACATTCACTTAAACAGTCTATATTTCTCTTGATAAGATGTGTCGCCCAATTATAAGATATAAATTTTAAATTTTGGTTGGTGGATTAGTTATGTTGGTTATATAGTAATGTTACAAAAAAAAGTTTTTTTTAGAATTAGAAGGTGTGATTTAGACTTTTACCATCCGATTAATCTTTTTACTTAGAGTCATTGTAATCGTCGAATAGTTTTTTTTTTTTTTTTTTCGTCGAAACAAGAATTATATTAATGATATAAGTCAATACAGAGCTCTTTTTGGAGCCACAGTGGCTGGGTTACAGAATCAGAATAAAACACAGAAGTTAGACAACCAAACTTTGCTAGATTATGTGCAGCCATATTTCCTTCTCTCTTCGTGAAAATGAACCGTGTCCGTTGGAACTTCTTTGCCCAAAATTTGATATCGTCGAATAGTTTACTTACCGGATTTTCTAATGAAAATAAAAACATGGCATCATTTTGAGTGGCTAAATACATAATGCTTTAGTAAATTTCACGTTTTAGGAGAATCAATCCCACCTACATGGCGACTTCTCTTCAAATACAAATCATTAGACCACTACCACTTAATTATGTTACAAGTTTAATTATTCCCTTTCATTCCTAAAAATTTGATTTTCTAAAGTTTTTTACATATTAATTATTTGATAATTACTGTTTTATATTAAAAAAGTTTATAACTTTAAACTAAGAGTAATCTGAAATAGTTAATTATTTTCAATCATTACATCTTCAATCTTAGGATCTATTAATATCAATCAATAAAAAGTATAAAAAATTAATATTTGTGGAATAAACCATAAAAAGTAGAACATCAATTTTGTAGGAACATATTTGATATTTTAGGAATTATATGAAATAAAATAGAAAAACTTAACTATTTTATAAAGTTATACATTTACCATAAAATAAAATTGTTTGGTAGATTAAAGAAAAACGAATATTACGACTTTAGAAATATAGGAAATAGATTTAATTTTACTGTTGCTTTGTTTTTGTTATGTTTTCACCCCCAAGTTTGATGATTTAAATAGTGGGAATGATTTTTTTTTTTGTCATCTAGTGGGAATGATTATTACAACCTAAAATCACTAACGAAATAAGATACTCCCTCTGTTTCACAAAAAGTGTCATTCTAAATATTGATTTTTGTTTCACAAAGAGTGTCATTCTACATTTTCAATGTGACTTTTACACAAAATTTTTTGATTTACCTTTAAGTTAAAGCTACTCTTCTCATTGAATTTAAATCATTAATCACTTATTAAATAGGGGCATATATGTATAATTTAATGTTTTCTTAATTTGTGTGAAATGTGTCAAAATGACACTCTTTGTGAAACGGAGGGAGTATATATCAAAAGCAGATAGGCCTCTCAAATGAACTAAAATAACTTAGATGGTGAAGAAACGTGTCACCTTATTTTGTCATGACCTTATAATTTTAAAAGTTGAGAAGATAATAAAAACTAAATTTTATTTTGAGTCCACACACGTAGAAATAAGAGAGACAAAGAGACAAGAAGAAAGAGAGATCTTATTTTATTTATATAGGTATTGAATTTTAAAATTTTAATAACGCCTTAAAAGGCTACCACGTATTGACAAAAGAGATGTGTAGATCTGTTGACTGTCTACCGGAACGACCGAGTCATTAGCTTTGACTTTTTTTTGCCTTTTTAATTCTCTCTCTCTAATCACATTAAAATAATTAATACTATTAATAAAAAAATCTCATTTTCTTTTCTTCTGACCTTTTTGGCACTTTTCTCCGTCCCTCGTGTTAATATTACCTGTCTTGTGGGCAACTAATTATTTATTCATTTTTCACTAATTTTTCCTGTCTAATTTTGAAAATAAGCTCACGGATTCTCACGATGCATTTATGTTTATGTAAGAAATTTAATCTGCATCTCACAATAAAAATATCAAGTTACAGAAATTTTCATATATATATATATTTATGGTTCATATTGATCGAATTATTACTCTACTCTATATCGATTTATAAGCCACAAGTTTGCTTCAGTTAATTAATGTATGTCAATTATTTCTTCAATTACAAGTTTGTTTGTTTATTGGTAATTTTATTTTAAAAAGGTTTCTTCATCATCAAGAACTCTTCATGTCTACAGTACTTGCCGTAGATAAACTTAATTAGAAAAAAATAATCAATGCGTTCTATAATTTGATTAAATTAAGCCACGGTTAAGTTGCAGGATTATATATTTAATTCATTCACATTTAAGACTGAGGAAGGAGCCAAGAAAGCGTGTAAGATGTCAAAAACAGGTCCACTAAAAATTAAAGTAATTAGAGATCAAAGTCCTTAGGGACGAATGATATATATTCAATTTTTTCCCAAAAAAATTAAATGAGTTGAAGAAAAATAGAAGAAAATCTGCAGAGCTGTCTGAGATTTGCATTGACCAACATGATACTACACAACGTGGCCGAGTTCGCATGACGTAGAAATCTTGTGGACAATAGTTTTGGTTTTACAAGTAATTCATCTGACTATTGATGCGTTTCACACTTTAATATATTTTCTCCGTTTTTTATAATATAAATCGTTTTAGCTAAAAA